GAGAGAGAGAGAGAGAGAGAGAGAGAGAGAGAGAGAGAGAGAGAGAGTACTTCCCTTTCCACACTTTAAGACAGAGCAGAACTGGACTTCTTCCAGTTCCTCATACATAGTACTCCATTTCCTATCTCTGCATCTTTGGATTAGTAATTCCTATGCCTAGAATGTGCCACTCCTCTTCTCTGCCTTTTAGAATTCCTTCTTCCTTCAAGAGACAGCTCAGACACCCCCGTCTCCAACACAGAGGTCTCAGGGAGGTGACACAGTGAGTTCATAGTATTTCAAGGCCTCGGTCTGGCTTTTTTGATGGATCTGGCTTCCTGGAACTGAACTAATGTTCACTCTTCCTCTCTACACAAAGCCTGATATATACTGACCTCTCCAGGGCGAACACCAACACACAGCCTGTCCACTGCTGGGCTTGTGTTGCCTGAATAAATCTGGAAAGAAAAAAAAAATGACAGGAGAAGTTACTCTTATTATTGTGGTAGATAGCCTAGGGCTCCCAGCACCCCAGGGTAGGAGGCTGGCCAAAATATTCAGCATCTTAGTGCTTAGCCAAAACTCTGACACTCTGAGGATGAAATGGGTGTTTAGGGAGTGTTTCTAACTACTAAGAAATGCAGAAGGTTCTAACATCATTAGTGGAGAAGAAAGATCACTGGATTTGGAGCCAGAAGACCTGGTTCAAAGTACATGTGTGACCTTGAGCAAATCACTTAATCTCTGCAGGCCTTACTTTACACATTTGTAAAATGGGACGTGGAGGGTGGGGTAGATTAGATGTTATCCAAGGTACAACCTAGCTACCTAAATCTATAGTTCAAATTTATAGACTAAATCTATAGTCTTAATCCTGAATTATCACCGAAAATCTAACCATACCACTTCCCCTAAGAAAAACAAAACAATTTTTACCCTCAAGGTGCTTACAATCTATTGGAAAGAAACAACATATATATCATCTTATACCCTCCCACTGATGGGGTATAGGCCCATCATTCAGTTTCAGAAGCCAAGACCTTTGCCCCTTTTTGCCAAAAGGAATTTGGCTCCCATTTGTTTACAGACTTCGGAAGACCCTTAAACTTTTAGATTCTCATCTAGACCCTTTTCCCAGCCCCCTCCTCTGGCCACCCAAAGTTACTTTAGTGTATATAAGACCCACCCTGGCCCCTATTCAAATGCTGAGACTTTCTCATGCCCAAAAGGCTGAGACTATTACTAATCTTCAGGTTCCTTAAGAGTCTGGCCTATGTGTTTTATCTCTAATAAACTTTTTCTCTGGCTGGAAGAAGATTTGAGTTGAATTCATTCAGGCAGGGCCTGTGTCTCAATCTAGGGGTTTGAGCACCCCAAACCTCTAGACCTCTTCACCACCACTTCTAAAACCCATCCCTTAGCTAAACTTCCCTATGTGTGTTGAGGATACCACCAATATTTTTATTCACCCAGGCTCCCTATGGCCTCTAGGGTAAAACAGAAATTCCTCCACTTGGGTTTTAAGGTCCTTCACATCCTGATCCTAACTTGTCTTTTCTGCCTCATTATACAATACTTCCCTTCCCATACTTTACAATCCAGCAGAATTGGACCTCTTTCTCTTCTTCATGTACAGTGCTCCATTTCCTATCTTTCTGTTTTTGGATTGGTCATTCCCATGTCTACAATGCATTTTTCCTTACTTCTGCTCTTAGAAGTCTTTACAGCTCAGGTACCACCTTCTACAAAGCCTTCCCTAATCTCCCCACTGCCGGCATCCCCTTCCAAAATTTTGTTGTTCGGTTGTTTCAGTTGTATCTGACTCTTCTTGACCCCATTTGGGGTTTTCTTGGCAAAGATATTGGAGTGGTTTGCCATTTCCTTCTTCAGCTCATTTTACAGATGAGGAAACTGAGGCGGACAGAGTTAAGTGACTTTCCCAGGGTTGCAGAGCTAGCAAGTGTCTGAGACCAGATTTGAACTCAGGGAGAGAGGTCTTCCTGACCCAAGGTTCAGTTCTCTCTTTGCTGCACCACCTAGGTGCATTTACTTATCTTGTGCATGTGTTGATTCTCCCCAGTAGAATGTAAGCTCCTTGAGAGAAGCGCTTCTTTTTTGTCTTTGTAATCACAATACCTGGCACAGGCTTTGCACATAGTAGGTGCATAAAAGTATTTGTTTAATTGAATTTTATTTAATTGAATCAACAAACTGAACACAGGGCTGAAGTCACAGCAGGGAGTGTTTACTTATCTGTGACCTTTGGGCCAGTAATTTCTCTCCAAGTTTCTCTCTCTCTCTCTTTCTCTCTCTCAGTTGTTTGCTTTCTAACCACCATCTCTCCACTATCTCTCACAAGTCTCCTCTTTGAGTAGGTCACTATATCATAGATTTCAAGCTAGAAGGAACTTAGAAGGTTGGACTTATCCAGTTCAACACTCTAACTAACTTTGCTAATTAGGAACTAGGCCAAGAGACGCTTAATAAATGTCTGTGGTATGACTTGAACTCCAGCCTTCCTTGCTTGAAGTTCACTATACCATCCTGCCTTTCTGGTCCCAATTATTCTGGTCCAGTCTCCTGCTTTGCCAGAATCTACTTTATTTACCAAATAAATAAACCAAGACTGCCATTTTATTCCCTTTGGTTCCAATATGGAAACCAGAAAGACCTGGAGGATACCTGCCTCTAAGAACTCAAGGATTGACTTTGACAGGTGACCTCACTATGTCAAGATAAGCACTGGGCAGTATCATCCTCAGGTCATTTCAACAAATTCCTTTACAACAGAAATGGCTGCAAATACACTTACTTCCAGCTATCTTTTCTACCACAAAATCTAAAACCAGTTAAAGAAAAGGGAAAACCTTTTGATAGTCTTCAACTATACAAAAGGCAGCAGTCATCATTAACACAGAGAGCAGCAGTTAGGGTTAAAAAGGCTGGTGAGCATTAAAAAGCAAAATCTACTCTGGAAAGTACATCTAGGAGCAACTGAGAAATTATAGATCTTGGGGTAGGGATTGGAGTAGGTGATCCCAGGAGAAGCTCTAGTTATATTCCTGGAACCCCTGAGGCCATGAGGAGATTAAAAGGCCAAAGGTGGCCTGGTATTTGATTAGACCAGGAGACTAAAACTCTGCTGTGTTGAATGAGGAACAGAAAGAATGAGAGTGGAAAGTGGATGCCCATGAGAAATGAGTAATACAGATGTCACCTTTTAAATTAAGAAGCATAATTCACTTGGCTAAATATTTTTCTAAAAAAAATGTGTGTGTACATAGCATGTGCGTATATGTATGTATATGTGTGTCTATATATGTGTGTGTATATATATATATATGTTTCATGCACAATCCTATCCTGTTCTATAATCTATATGGAAATGTTAATTTTATTTGATGTTTGTTAAGTTCAGAATAAAAAAAACTAAAAATACACACACACGCAAATCCTGAAATACATATACATAAATATAATGTATATATATGTGTTTATACACATATGCAAACACAGAAATAAAGCCAAGGTGGTATGATCAGGACATTTCATCAGGGTAAGAAACCAAGAGTGGACAACACTTGTGCTTTAACCAGGCCCAGCCCCATTCTTGGGTACGGTAGCCTCGCAAGGGAAGGTCTTTCTGCCTTTTCAGACAAGTCAGCATTCCCCACACGCATGCTTCCTCCTTCCGCACTCCCTCTCCAGGTGAACCGACCCTTCTCCTTGTTTTCTCTGATCTTCCTTCCTTGTACCAGGTGCAAAAATTGCTAGTTACAACTTTGAATATATGGTTGCTCTACAAAAAGAGAGTAAATTAGAGACTCGCGCCCACTGCACGTAGCAAACATGTAAAAACTCATTTGGGATCGTGCTTTCTCACCTTGGTGAGCTCATGTAGCCTCAAGATATCAGTTTTATTGCCTCCACTAAGAATTCTTTGTCTTTCTTCAGCCACATCATCATCTTCATTAGTGATAGGTTGTTTAGCAGGCTCAGCAATCCTAGAGGAACCAGACAACAAATCCCCAAGAAAGAGGACAGATTATTGTAGAAATACAGATTTAGAGCCAGAAAGGCCCAGAGATCCTCTCCTAACCCCCTCATTCTAGACACAGGAACAAGAAGAGGCATCCTCCCTTGTACGGGAAACCAGGATAAAATGTAATTGGGAAATATTTAACAAAAGAAATAAAAATACAATAGAACATAGATCATATTAATCTATGGTTTTCTAGATCCATATGCAGTCCCATAGATCCGTCTGTATGGTTTAGCAGCCTTGTTTCTATTTGAGTAAGATACTCAACCTGTCATCCTTTGTAACAATCCTTCACATTTGTCCTTTAGCCCAGGCCCCAATCACCAAAAACAGTATGGTGTAGTGGAAAGAGAGCTGGATTTCTTGTCAAAAAACCCAAATTTGAATCCTGACCCTGTCATTCTCTGTGTGACCTTGAACAACTCATTTCGTTTCTCTGGGCTTCAGTTTCCTCATCTGCAAAATGAGGAAGCTAAACTAGCTCAGCGACTCTTAGCTCAGGGTCTGTCTTTTAAAAAAAGCATTTTGATAACTGCATTTTAATCTAATTGGTTTCCTCTGAAGTCTTATACATTTTATTTTATACATTTAAAAACATAATTCTGAAAAGGGGTCCAAAGGTTTCACCAGACTGCCAAAGGGGTCCCTACCACAAATGGTAGAGAACTCCTAGATGAACTAGATGGTTTCAGTTCTAAATCTATAATCCCAAAGTATGCCTGAATGATTGAACCAGTCTCCTAACTGGCTCTGCTTCAGGTCCTGTCTTCCTAAGCCAGCTTTCCTATCACTGCCAGATTACTCTTCCTAAAATGCTATATTTTCCTCATATTTCTCCCCTGATTATTCATTCAATTTGCATGTATTTTGCATTTATTTATCTGTGTACATGTTGCATTCCCCTTATTATTCCTAATAGAATATAAGCACTTTGGTGGCCGGGATATCTTTGTATAATGAGTGACTGGAACTTAATAAATGCTTTTTGAATGTATGAATGAAGTTATTAAATTTCTAGTATGTGCACAGCAGGGTGCCAGGTACAAGGTATTGCTTAAGAACCCTCAATGTCTACTTAATTGATTAATTCTACAGAATTGAGGCCAAAGTTCAGCCTGAAAATAAAGGTTTGCCATAGTCCGGCATCAATTGGCTTTTCTTAACCTTCAAGCCTCAAATGCTAGGCACTATAGCTGAGTACTTTACAAATACTTCTTATTTAATTCTGATAACAACTCTAGGAGGTGGTACTATTAGTTGTTGTAGAGTTGTTTCAATTGTGTCCAACTCTCTGTGACCCCATTTTAGGGTTTTAAGATGCTTGGAGTGGTTTGCCATTTCCTTTTCCAGTTCATTGTACAGATGAGGAAACTGAGACAAACAGGGTTAAGTGACTTGCTCAAGGCCACACAGCTAGTTGGTGTCTGAGGTCAGATCTGAATTCAGGAAGATGAATCTTCCTGAGTCCAAACCCAGTGTTCTATCCACAGTGCCTCTAGCTGCCAGGTGCTGTTGTCATCCTCCATTTTACATTGAGGAAATTGAGTCAAACAGACGTTAAGTGACTTGCCTAGGGTCACACAGCTTGGTTTTGAACTCAAGCCTTCCTGATTCCACTGCTCTCTTGCCTGAACTCTTCACTCCAGCCAGATTACATGGTGTGGTAGAAAGAAAACTAGATTTGTTGTTAGAGATCCTGGGTTTGAATCCCAGATGTGCAACCTTAAAAAAAGTCACATAATCTCTGGGGGGGGGGTCTCATTTTCCTCATCTATAAGATGGAGCTGGATTAGAAAAGTCCCAAATTCTTTTCCAACTCTAAATTGTAGCCTATTTATTGGTTCATGAACATCCCTTGTGCACTCCTGCCTCCTTTTTTGTTCAGATTTTTTTTTTTGGCTTAGACCCTTTACCCCTCAACCCAAATAATAGCACTACCCTGCATCAGTATAGTAATTTTCAAAGGAATTTTGTATCCATTATTTTATTTGAACCACAAGACCACTTGGGGAGGGAGGAGGCTACCATAACTAATGAATTCACCATAGATTAAAAACCCCCAAACCAACTTAGTCCTGTTGCTTCACTTTACAGGATGAAATACACGAGAAAGTAGTGCTGTGAAACCTCAATTCAGATACATGTATGTAATAATAATCTGAATAAAAGGCAATGTGGCTCAATGGATGGAGAGAAGACTTCAGAGTCAGGAAGATAGGGGTTCAAGTCTCCTTTCTAAATAGCTGAGTGACCCTGAGCAAATCGCTTCTCCATGACCCCAGGCAACTCTAAGACCATACCTTTCAAAATAGCTTCCAATCTGCACTGGTGGAGAGAATTTCCTCCCTGGGAATTTCTTATGCCTGTCTCAGCATTTAACAAATGGAAGCCTGATTAAGCATGAATATTATTCTGCTGGACCCTAAAATACTAACATTATAGTAAGATATGTCCCAGGGAGGAGCTGGGCCATATGACTTAGAGACCTCCAGCTGGTTAAGAAACGTGAACTAGCAGGTACAAGCATTTCTGGGAGCTATGGGAAAGCCAGCAGTTATCATCATGTGTCCTTCCTTTCCCTGGGCTCACAAGCTACACCCTCTACACCAACCCCTCTATCTCCTCCCCATTGCTTGCTCAGGGATTGTACTGTCAGCCAATGCACATAGATTCTCTGAGGTAGACAGAGGCAGCAGCATGGAATTGAGGAAACTCAACAAGCCTGCCTGTAGAATCGAACTAAACAGTGGAAAGAGGGCTGGACATGGAGTCAGTCCACTAGTTCCTCTGTTTCCCAGCCCTGCCCCCTCCCCAACCTGTTTGTCAGAAAAAGGAAGGTTTTATATAATTAGAACTGACATGAATGGAAATGGAAGCTAGGAAGAGAGAGACCTGTCAGTGGGAGACCAAGCCCATGGTGGCTATATCCCCGCCCCCTTTCCTCTCTCAATCAAGTACCATCTGGTGAGGAAGAAGTGGTGCTGGAGAAGCAGGTTCAGAGTGAAGTAGACCGCCCCTTCCACCGCCATGGCAACCAAGTTCTTCCCAATCATATCCCACTGGAAAGGATCTGAACAGTGTTCCTCACCTGTGAAAAGAACCAGGGAGGGAAAAAGACCAGCATGCACCATGGCTTCAATTCCATTCAAGAGACATTTATTCAATATCTATAATGTACCCATCCTGTTTTTAGGTGATGAGAACACAAAGGCCAAAATGAAACACTTTCTGCCTTCAAAAAGCTCGCATTCTACCACATGCACGCAAACAGGTAAACGAAAAGTACATTTAAAAATAAATACATAGTAATTGAGAATGGGTGGGATGGAGCAGTTTTGTCTCAGGAAGGGTCTCCGGAGCTGAGGCTTGAAGTGAGCTTGGGGTGCCAAATCACAGAGGTTTCCAGGCATGGGGGACAGACACATGCACAAAGGCACCAAGACCAGGTAGGGAGGGTTTATACAGGAAATAACTACAGTGTGATGGGCTGGTGGAGTGTACAAGGCAGGGGAGTAACGTCTAATCAATGCGTTAGATTGTGAGGAGCTTTGAAATACCAGAAGAGACTCCAATTTATCCTACAAGCAATGGAAACCACCAAAGCTACCTGAGCAGAGGAGTGGCATGGTCAGACCAGTGTTTTAGGATTATTAATTTCAGTAGAATAGAAGCTCTTTGAGGCCAAGGACTGTTTTTCATTTTATTTTTGTATCTCCGGTGTACCTTATACATTTTTCTTAGGTGAGGATTGACGGTGAGTGGAAGGGGTTGGGAATGGTCTTGACCTGTACATTTTAAAAATTTAATGTAATTTATTTTTTGTTACATTTCAAGTTCCTGTTTCCCTCCTTCCCTCCCTGCCGCCTGCACTACCAAAGGCCACCTTTTCTCTCTCTGTCTTTCTGTCTCTCTCTCTCTGTCTCTCTCTGTCTCTCTCTCACACACACACACACACACACTCACAAAACCATATTACCCATACTTCTATATATCAGTTCTTTCTCTGGAGGTAGATAGCATCTTCCTCCAGAGGTCCTTTGCAGCTGATTTGAATATTTATAGTACTTGGAATAGCTTGGTTGGTCACAGTTTGAACAATATTGCTGTTACTGTATACAATGTTTTCTTGGTTCTGCTCATTTCACTCTTCATTATTTCATGCAAGTCTTTCCACCTTTTTCTAAAACAGACCTGCTCATCCTTTCTTACAACAGTGTATTTCATCATATTCACCTGATTTTATCAGTGTTAGGAACTCCCAGTGAGGAAGCTCCCTCCCTCCACCAAAGCAGACTGGCAACTTTTCTGCAGCTTGCCATCTTGTAATGCTGCTGCCCTAGTTACTGAGAAGTTAAAGGCCTTACCGAGGATCATATGGCCAGCATGTGTCACAGGCAGGTCTTGAACCCAGGTCCTGACTCCAAGGTCCTTGATCACACCCCCCCCCCCAACTCCACCCCCAGCCACTTGCTTAATAAATATTTATTGGATTGAACTCAAATTTAACTCTTCCGATTAAAACCCATCTGGTCCTCCGGACATGGTTAGACAACAAGGCCTCAGGATCCCTCCCATTTCTGAGGATCTGTGCAAAGCAAATAGTCCAAAGGCTAGAAACTTCAGCTGGTGAATGACACACCCTCAATTATCTCAACAAACTCTTTTAAGTCATTTTTATTGCACTCACCAGACCAGACCCAACTCAAGACAGTATTAGTGTCTAGCACACAGTAGGAGCTTAATAAATGCTGATTGATTGTCAGGCTTAAAAAAATAGTTTAAAAAAATGGATAGTTTGCTTTTCCCTCTGGATGTTCATGGTTAAGTCTCATGGAGAAGGCCAGTGACTGGTCCCCATTCCCTCCTATGACTCCTTACTTCTCTTGGTTCCCATTATTCTCTCTTGCCTGGCACACCAGCCAAACCCACAAGGCACTCCCTGTACATCTGCATTTATTGACATCCTTCTCTGCTCATTCTTTAAGGCTCAGCTGGGAGCCTTCTTCTATGAAGTTCCTCCAAATCCCTAGCTATTAGTGCTTTCTCCTGATTTATATTTGTCTAGATTTCTTCTTTGTCCCTATCATATTCTACCTGATATCACATTTATTTGTGTACGTAGGTGGTGCAGTGGATAGAGCACTGGACCTGGCATCAGGAAGACCTGAGTTCAAATCCGGCCTCAGACACTTCCCAGCTCTATGACCCTGATCAAGTCACTTAATCTCTGTTTGCCTCAATTTCCTTATCTGTAAAATGGGGGTAAGTAATAGCACCTTCCCGACAGGGTTGTTGTAAGGATCAAATGAGATAATAACTATTAAGTGTTTAGCACAATGTCTGGCACATAGTAAGCATTACATAAATGCTAGCTTTATTGTTATTTCTCCTTTGCCCTTACCACATTCTATCTTGGATCACACTTATTTTCGAACCTAGACAGCTAGGTGGCTCAATGGATAGAGTCAGGAAGACCTGAGTTCAAATTTGGCCTCAGATACGTCCTAGCTGTGTGACCCTAGACAAGTACCTTAACATCCATCTACTTCAGTTTTCCTCATCTATAAAGTGGGAACAATAGTCGTACCTAAGTCCCAGGTTGTTATGAAGGTAAAATGAGATAATATTTATAAAGTACTCTGCAAATTTTAAAGTGTTATATAAATGTGATTACTCATTTGTTTTGCTTCGAGACTTGGCCTCATATTTCATTGGGAGGAAGCCCTCTCTACCAACACAGACTGACACCTGTCCTGCAACATTTCATCTTAGGAAGTTGCCTGGGGGACCGGGAGGTGAACTGACTTGCCCAAGGTCACATAACAAATACGAGATAACAACAATAATAATAACAGTTCCTACTATGTGCCGGGCACTTTGACAATTGCTTTACAATAATCATCTCATTTGATCCTCACAACAACCCTGGGAGGCAGGCATTATTATTTATCTCCACTTTATAGATGAGGAAACTGAGGCAAACAGTGATTAAGTCACTTGCCCAAGGTCACATAATCAGCATGAGACAGAGGTAGGATTGTGAACTCAGGTCTTTCTGATTCTGAGGCCGGCTCTCTATCCAGAATGAAGCCGCTTCTCAGTCTTACTATGGACTGATTGTCTTAGCTTCATTAGATTGTAAACTCCTAGGGTAAAATGCGGTCTTTTAAAACTTATGTATGCCCAACACCTAGCAATAGTGACTTGAACATAGCAGTTGCTTATTAAATGTTTATGAAGTGGGCCCAGTGCCTGGCAGACAGGATATCCACACCTACACTCCCCACACATGAGCTTTACTTGCAACACATCTACTATGGCCACATACAAGTGCCTACTCTCTACTGGCCAGAGGACAGTCACTTACCAAAGGCGGCATAGACATCTATCACAGCTTGGTTCAGGGCTAAGTCAATGAGTCCTCGGCCCAGACAGAAGTGAGGAAAAATGAGCAGAGCCTTCCTCAGCATGGCACTGAACCTGAGCAATGCCTGAAACAGAGAAGCAACAGCATCCCAAGTGAGGGCACAGTGTTCCTGAAACTAGGTTATCTCCGTGTCAAGAGAGATTGCATAAGTCAATAGAATAACCTCAACTTGGGGCACCAAACTTTTTTTTAAATTTTAAATTGTATTTCAGTATAACTGATTTCCCTTGTAACCCTATATATTTTATTTTGTGCATTTAAAAACATTATTCTGAATTGGGACACTAATGCATTGTTGGTGGAGTTGTGATCTGATCCAACCATTCTGGAGAGCAATTTGGAACTATGCCCAAAGGGCTATAAAACTGTGCATACCCTTTGATCCAACAGTACCACTACTAGGTCTGTATCCCAAAGAGATTATAAAAAAGGGAAAAAGATCCACATGTACAAAAATATTTATAACAGCTCTTTTTGTGGTGGCCAAGAATTCGAAATTGAGAGGATGCCTATCAATTGGGGAATAGCTGAACAAGTTGTGGTAAATGAATGTAATGAAATACTACTGTGCTATAAGAAATGATGAGCAGACAGATTTCAGAAAAACCTGGAAAGACTTACATGAACTGATGTTGAGTGAAGTGAGCAAAACCAGGAATACATTGCACAAAGTAAGAGCAACATTGATAGACTTAACTCTTTTTAGCTATACTATGATCCAAGATGTGAACCCCAAACCCCATCAACCCCACAAACCCCAATTTGAAAAAGAGTCTGCTCTAAGAAAGAGACAAATGAAATTGGGGTACACGTGTCCATGGTTTAATTTCTCAAAGTGGCTTAACATGCATCGTATGGGAGTTCAGTCCAAAACTGGGCCCCAGAACTGGCTCAGTTTGGGATTTTAGAGTACGGCCTTATACGCCCTTCGAAGATTAGGTGTTCCCCAGGGGTGCCAATCAACCATGATTGGTCGACATATTAGGAGGTAGGTCATATTAAAATGAGGTCTTGAGTACGCGCTTCAGGTCACGGTTCACAGGCGCAAATATCACCTGCCATCAAAGGAAATACCACCCCCAGTCTTGAAGTCTGTCTCCACCCAAACCTGAGTAGGATAAAATCAATTCAGGCCTGGTCTGGAGTTTGACCAAAATAAGAAGATTTGAAGCAATTGCATTATTACAGATGTTCTTCTCAAGAACTTTGGTCAGCAGGCTGACCGGGGGAGGTGGGGAGCTCTGAGTCTCCACGGCACAGATTACCAAGAGAAATCATTTTTAACAAAGACAATTCCAAAAGACTTGCGTTGGAAAATGCCATCCACATCCAAAGAAAGAACTATGGAGTCTAAATGCAGATCGAAGCATGCTATTTTCTCTTTTTTTGTTGTTTTTGAGTTTTATTTTTTCTTTCTCCTGGTTTTTCCCTTTTGTTCTGATTTTTCTTTCACAACATGACTTGTGTGGAAATATGTTTAACATGATCGTACATGTATAACCTGTATCAGATTGCTTGCTGTCTTGGGGAGGGATGGAGGAAAATTTGGAACTCAACAGATTACAAAAATTAATGTTGAAGATTATCTTTACATGTAACTGGAAAAAAATAAAATACTATTAAGTAAAAAAAATTTTTAAACCATTATTCTAAGAAGGGGTCCATAGGCTTCACCAGATGCCTGAGGGGTCCAGGACAGAAAAGTGATGTAGAACCCCTGCCTCATCAAGTGCTGTCTGGCAGGGTGAGAGGCAGGGTGACTGTAGGCCATTATAGTCAGGGGAGGCCACAAGGAAGGATCCACACAACACAGGAAATCAGTGAATGAAATCCATAAATGGAGGTCTTCAAGACTCACAGAAGAGGCAGGGAATATTGGGGTACATTGCAAACTCCTGAAAGTAGAAACTGTTTATTTGTTTATTTCACCCCCTAAACAGCTCAGTAGATAGCAGATTAATTATTGTGCCTTTCTTTGGGTCAGGTAAGCCTTAGCACACAGGCCTCCTGAGGCTGGGGTTGGGGCTAAGCTAGTCAATCAAGATTTCACCTGCTCATGGAAATTAAGTAGAAAGATTTAACTCAAAAGCCACCTCCTAGCATCTCCTGACTCCACTGCCCAAATTAGTTTGTTTTTATTTATGTTTGAATGTGTTTCTTCCCAGTCAAATGATAGCTTTTTGAGGGCAGGAACTTTTTTTTTTGTCTTTGTGTATCAAGCGTTTAGCATACAACATGTATACTAAATGCTTAAAATGCTTTTTAAATTGAATTGAATGGCATCTTTTCCATTGCCTCCATTGGCAAACATTTGAGAAGCCTCCTTCTGATGGATGATCATATACAGGCTGGCTTCTAAATTATAATAATAATGATAATCAATTGATAAAGATTTAACCTCCCATCCTCATGCCTTTGCATAGAATGTCCCCCATGCCTGGAAATACCCTCCACGCTTGCCTCTACCTCTTATATTCCCAGCTTCTCCCAGTTCACATGACACCTCCTGCATGAGGCCTTTCCCGATCCCTCCAGCTCCTAATGCTTCCTCCCCAATCCGCATTTACTTTGTACCTGCTTTGTATATATTTTGTACGATTATATGACTCACAGGCTTATATGATTATTGTTGCATTTCCCCTACTCTCCACTTGAGGGCAGGAACAATTTCATTTTTGTCTTTGTAACCCCAGGAACTAGCACAGTGTTTGGCATATAGTAGGTGCTTAATAAGCACTTGTGGACTGATTGATTGATTCATTGATTGATTGATAATAATGCCTTATGTTTGTCTATCACTATAGTTTACAGAGTTAAGTCAACAAGTATTTATTAAGTGCCTACTATTGCTGAATGGGCAGCTAGGTGGTGTAGTAGACAGAGCACTGGGCCTGGAGTCAGGAAGACTCATCTTCCTGAGTTCAAATCTGATCTCAGACACGTACTAGCTGTGTGACCCTGGGTAAGTCACTTAACCCTGGTTGCCTCATCTGTAAAATGAACTGGAGAAGGAAACAACAAACCACTCCAGTATCTCTGCCAAGAAAATCCCAAATGGGGTCATGAGGAATCAGACACAACTGAAAAATGACTGAACAATAATCTGCTTAATGCTGGAGATACAAAGAAAGTCAAAATTGGTCCCTGAGCTTGAGGAGCTCACAGCTGGAGATAGCCAGGCAAACAACTATGTGCACAGAAGACATATATGCAGTATAAATGGGAGAGGACCTGTCAGAAGGACAGCAGGGGCAGAGTCCAGGCAAGGCCCCGGAAAGCTTCTTGCAGAAGGTGGGATTTTTAGCTGAGACGTGAAGGAAGCCAGGCAAGCCAGGAGGCAGGAAGTGACTGAAAGTGAGCCGTTCCAGAGCACTTTCATACCTATGGGCTCAGTAGGATCCCCACCATGCTCCTGGGAGCAGGCACACACACATTTTAAAGCTGTGGAAACTTGGGACTCAGAGAGGTTTCTCCAGTCTGGGTCTCCTAACTCCAAATTCATCACTTGACTCGCCACATCACACCACACTGACCATTAGGAATATCTAGCAATCATATGGCACTGTGCACAGTTTTCTTCATCTTCTTTTGATAATAGCTATCTTGTTGTCAAACCAGTGTTTTCATGGTCACTCAGTGCCCCCTGGAGTCAGGCAGCTCTGGGCTCTCTTCCTTCCACAACCCAGAGATGAGCACCCACCTGGGACCCAGCCTGAGAACAGTTGTCATCAGCTCTGCCCTGGGTACCAGATACCATTGGCTTCCAAGGTAAGTAGAGACATTTCACTGTCCTGGCTCCTGGTCACTGCAGTCACACAGCTGTGGTGTCAGGCTGGACAGAGCACGTCTTAACTTTGCCTCTCCACATGGCAGCCACCATTGTGGCCTCCAGCCACATCCAGAAAAGGGACACAGAGACTTTGCTGTTGCTTCTGTTCTTTTTGCAAAGGGCACGACTGGATGGTAGGTTTATTGTGCATTTCTTCTTGGAACAGTAAACTTCATTCTGGCCCAAGTATAGCTATATACTATAGCTAAAGGCACCATGGTATAATAGATAGAGCACTGGATGTGGATCCAGGAAGAGCCTTGGTTCACATTACACACATGATACATGATATACATTACACGCATGACGACACATATAGGCGGTCCATCTTATGCACATGACACATATGGCACACGGTATATAGCACACGCACACACACACCACACACACACACACTAGTAGAATTCCCTACCAAACCCATCCTTCGAGGCCCAACTCAGACATCTCCTCCACAAAGCCTCCCTTCAGGCCCCTACAGCTCCCACGAATCTCTGTCCTCTGCACTGGGGGCACTCAGAAACTGCACCACTTAGCTGGCACCAAGTCACAAAGCGCCTTGAGACACCTGGTCTTAGATTTCGCACTAGAAGGAATCCCCAGAGGCCATGCAGCCCAGCTCCCTCATTTTGCAGATAAGGGGGCTGGGATCCAGACGGTGACAGGCTTTTTGCCCAAGGCCACTGAGATACTGAGGAGTCAAAACAGGCCATGAACCCGCGTCTGACGGCAGAGCTGGTGTTCTTTGCACTCATCTCTTATGCTGTCCGGCCATTTAATTTTTCCTGCCTATGTTCTGCCTCCCTCACTAGACTGTAAACTTCCCAAGGCTCCCTTGATCACAGCTTTCCAATCCAGAGTGCCTAGCACTGTGCTACGCTCACTGTAGACTCCTTTGTTTTTATGAACAACTTTTAGGGCTAGTTTTTGTTTTTACCTTGCCTAAATTTCCTCCTGTATCTCTCTCCTTCTTCCTTTCCCCTCCTCAGAGAGTCATCTCTTATGACAAGAATTTTCTTTAAAAACAAAACAAAACAAAACACTCTGGCAAAACTAGTCAACCAACCCCCCTGACAGTATGTGCAATGTTGTACCACCGTGGCCCCTCAGCTTTGCAAAGAAGTGAGGTGGGGGCGTCTTCTCCTCCCTCTACTCTGGAGACCAGCAACATCCACTTTCACTCCCCTTGGTTCAATTGCTCTTCCCATTTCCATCACTGGAGTTGCTTTGCACATTATCTTCCCGATTCTTTCTTCCTTTCTCTCCTCATTAGTTCCTAAAAGTCTTTCCATGCCTTTCTATACTTACATTTGTCCTTCTTACATCACAGTATATTCCATTCCATCCCGGTGTGGACTATCGATGCTTTTGGAGTGGTCAGAGAGGAACATGAGGTCTCCTGATTTTGCCTGGGAAGCTGCAATTTGGGGGGGCCCCAGAAATTTTTCTTTGAGTCCATGTGACCTAGATCAACCCTGAGAAGGGCATCCTTGAGCTGCTATAGGCACAGTGCCGAGTTGTTCATATGATGTCCGAGTAACAGGATCCCTTAGGACTTTGTGAGGGAAAGAAAAGACCTCATCCTCACTCAGCGGCTCTGCGGCTGTCATCTGCTGTCACGGGGTCTGTATTCTCACCCATCCCACTTCTGGGCCCTGAGTTTGGAGCGGACCCTTTTATGTCAGTGACAAGACAGTTGGGGTTTTATTTCTTGCCTGGAGTCCCTGGAAGGGCTGACAAGATCTTGGACAGTGTCTGTCTCAGGAGGCCCTTGGCTATGGCAGTTCCAGAGACTGGATTACTCTTGGTAATAGAGTTAGGGGGCAGGGGGCAGCCTGGGAGTGTGACTTGAAGGCTTGCCAGGAGTTATTATAAGGCTGACACTTAAGAGTCCCCAAGCCTGCTCAGCTCTGTTGAGAAAGGTGTTTGTTCCAGGGCTCCAGGGAGACTCTGCTGTCACTGAGGCCTGTGGACCAGAAAACCGCCTTAGAGAATTGATTTGGCAAGCTGCAAAGACTTAAGATCTCTCTTCAATGAAATGATCAGGCAGGATTCCAGAGCCCCCATAATGATATGCACTTCCCAGCTCTTGACAGAAAGGTGATGGATTCAGGGTACAGAATGAGGCAGATTTTTTGCACACGGCCAAGGAAGTAATTTGTTTTCTTGACTATGCATATTGCTTTGTTTTTCTTTCTTTCTTTTGCAGTTGGAGGAGGGAGAGGTGATGTAAAGAAAAATTTTTTTTTAAAATTTTTAAAAATTCAATTGATTTGGGAACCTACAAGGATCTTGAATCTGGGTAGGGGAACGCCCTGGTGGCTTCCTTGCCAGCATCCCATCTCATGAAAAACCAATGAAGAATGAAACTTGAATAGCTGTTAAAAAGAAAAGGTCTAGGGGGACTGTTAGGGACTGTTGAGAACAGGACAGAGAACCGAAGATGGCCTGGGCTACACTCCAAGAGCCCCCAAATCAGAACTGAGATGATGCCACATTTATTGGTGTGTCCTTTATGGATGAGGCGCCATCAATGTCTTTTGGACAGTGAGAGATGTAGAAGGAGAATGCTCTGAGGAAGTTAAGGGTTTAGACATTCATTTATGGTTTATCACTTTAGGATATTCAGCTTCAAAATAATCTTAATCCTTAAGAAGGCAGCATAGTAGAGTAGATAGAATGCTAGATTGGGAGTCAGGAGAAACTGAGTTCAAATCCTGCCTCACACAATTACTGTGTTACTCTGGGCAAATCACTTAATCTCTCCACCTCAGTTTCCCCATGGCTCCTTCCCTACACGATTGTTGAAATAACAAAAAAAAGATAGTCTGTATAAGACACTTTGTAAAACGTAACAAGTGTTAGCCAAATAAATATTAATTATAAATATTATTATTATTATTACTAGCTACATGACTTCATGCAAGTCACCTGATTTCCCTCAGCCTCAGTTTCTCCATCTGTAAAGCAGTGAAAATAAACATTTATACAGCATCTACTATGTGCTAAGCCCTTTATAAATATTACCTCATTTGACCTGCCCAATGAAAGGAGGATTAGACTTGACCTCCAGGGTCCCTTCTAGCTCTAAATTTATGATCCTCTTAAAAATGAGACCCTCAGGCCTAACAGTTCAAGGACTCTCCACTTTTTTCTCCACCGATGATCTGGCAGAAGGCCTTAGAACCCAGGGGTCCCTTAGGGCTTGTGGGACAGGGCTAGTTAAAAGACAAAATAAAAGGGAGCTTAGACAAAAGCCAGGCTTCTGGGTGGAGGTGACCCTTCTCGACCCGGGGCATGGCGCACCCTCCCCCTCCCTGCTGCTCGATGAATACCGTCTGGGAGACCACAGGGCCAACCAGGACACGAGGAGAAGGGAAGAGGCTGCGCTCACCCTGTTGTTTTCGAACAATTCCAGGACAAACGTGATGGCAGTGCTGTTGATCCCGATGAAGAGGTTGGCACAGGACAAGGCCACGTAGGCCGTGCTGGGCACATCAAACAGGAAGGAGGCGGGGTACATCATCGGGATGACGGCCCACCTGTCGAAAGCCCCCAAACACAACAGGACAGGTTTTCAGTTTTCATTTCCTCTCCTGTTCCTTTAGGCAACAATAGATTGATTTCCCTCCCCTACACTGTGAAATCTCTGAAGTGGCCAGAGCTTCAAGGGGGACAATGAGAGGGCCTAGGGCCCCGGGCTGGCCACCGGCCATCTTCTCTCTCTGCCTTTCTCCTCACTCTCTTCCATGCTAGCAATACAAAACAAACAAGATTCTCCCAACCCACAGACGCTAACAAGCCGCCATCATCAGTCTCCCAAAAGACCAATCCGACGGATCGTTCAGTAACATCTGGAACTTGGAATTCTGACGGTGCAGTGAAAAAGAGGGGAGAGTTTGTAGTCAAAGGATTGGGGTTTGAATCCCTGTCCCGATACATTTCATCTGTGTGACCTTCAGCAGATGGCTCAACCTCCCCTGGCCTCAGTTCCTCATCTGCAAGATTAGGAGTCAAACTAGGCGGTCTCTAAGGCCCCTCTCCACTCTAACCTGTTTTCCTATAATAGGGATGTATTCATTCATTACAAGGGCGTATTAGGGTCATAAGATCATTAACTTAGAGCTGGGAGGGACCTTACAGGTCATCTAGTCTAATTCCCTCGTTTTGTAGGTGAGGAAACTCTATGATGCCTACAGGGGCGAGTGATTTGTCCAAGGCCATACAAATCGGTAGGGCTGGGGTCTGAACTGAGATCCTCTGATTTCAAAGATGGCGATCTTTCCATCACACCACACTATCTCTTATGTGCATCTGTTTTTGTGAGAAATATCTGAAGAGAACCCAGAAAGAGTTAAGCCAATTTGGCTTCTGGGATTCTTTTTTGGGGGGGAGGGGGAGAATCATGTCAACGAGCATTTATTAATAATTTACAATGTGCCAGGTGGGGAGAGGGGGATGGAAAGGTGTTAATTGGAATAACTGGATTAATTGACTTGGATTAATTCCACAGTTATTTTCCCAGTGTTGACTTAACGCAAGCATTTCTGAAACATTTTTCAGTGCATGTCCAAGCCAACATTACTATGGTCAATACCGACGGAGAAAAGCCCCAGAGGAAATCCAAGTCAGAAAGAGGCATGAAGTTAGGGAGAGGATGATCCCCAGGTCACAGCAGCTCTCTCAATGGGTTCCACGAGAGAACACAGCTAGGGAAGAGTTCCCCACCTGAACTAATTGAACAAGCAGAAATCATGACCTCTAAGGTCTCTTCTGGCTCTGTCTAAAATCCCACCATATCTATACTGAATACATAATCGGTGCACCAGGTCCTCTGCAGGCTCCTGGCCAGCAACACAACCACCTGCCTGGGCCTGTTAGAAATGCTACCGCCTCTCAGGCAAGGGGGATCTGTTGCACGTTGGCTTGATGCAGGGCTTTCTTCTAGTATCAGCCTCCATCAGTTCCAAATGACTTACCCATAAAGGAACAGCAGTGCAATCAGGGCTGGGAGATTGTTTGGGGAAGTGTATGCTTGCTTCTGAAATCCAATGAAGATCCCCACCACTATCCCAGCACTCACAGCATAATTGACCTGGTCAAAGGGAAAGAAGAGGGCAAGGTCATTTCTATTTTCCGGGTCACAGCGGGTGAATTGGGAGAGGGGATTGAACTAGATCAACCTGTCTCAAATTAATTTGGCCATGGAACACTTTGCAGCTTGAAATAATACTGATAGAATCTTTAAATGTTGGTGGAATGGGATCACCGAATCATATTTAGAGCTTGGAGGAAGAAACCATCTAATCTGAGCCCTTCTGCTCTGAAATTCATACCTCAGAAGCACCCTTGGCCCCTGACGACCCTCCCTCTGATTGGATGGTTCCTTCCAGAACCTGCATCTAAGGAGAGCACTCAGGCCAGCTGTGTCCATTTCTCACCAGGCTGTACTCCAGGTTCCTCTACTATGCCCTGTATCCACCTCCCCTCAACCCAGTTGAGGTTTTTCTTCCTTCCTCCCCTCCCTCTCTGGTTATCTTTAGCATTATCTTCCCCCATTAGAATGTAAGCATCTTGAGGGTAGGGACTGTCTTTTTGCTTGTATTTGTATTCTCAACACAGAGAACAGTGCCTCGCACATAGTAGACCTTAAGAAATGCTTGCTAACTGACATTTAGTTCAACCTCCACATTTTATAGATAAGATAAGCACAGAGAGATTAAGTGACTTGCCCAGGGTAACACAACTAGTTTAGTGACTGAAGTAGGATTTGAACTCAGGTCTTCCTAATTTCAAGTACAGTGCCCAATCCATTATGCCATGCCATGAGAGAAGGGGACTAGGGAAATTTTGTTAACAAAAGAGAAATTAATCCTGCTTTATGCTGAAAAATAAGGTGCATAAAAGAACTTTTTCCAATAATAATTTCAAAACTATTATACTAGAGGGAAAAATATCATTAACAAAGACATTTTCTCATGGAAGCCCTGTAATTCTATCTGTTGAGGAGCCTTTGACTTCCTTGGCCAGACAGGCCACATACCCCAAGGATTTGGATCAGTTCTTTACAAAGGTCCACTGCACAATGAGGGACCCCTAAGGAATTATAGAAAGACATATCTGTCCTTTTGCCACTGGCTCATTTCAGGGTTGCAGAGTTCCTCCAGCTGCATACTTTACATTCCTTTTCCCAACCTAGATTTAGGCTAATGACTTGAAATTCTTATACATCATAGCCTTCTGGATACTCTCCAAGAATCCATAAACCTGTACAAAAAAAAATCTACCTGTCAATACATTTCACCTAAACTCTCATTCTGTCAAGACCCTGAGGGCAGAATCAGGAACAGTTTGTGGAAAGTGCAAAGATTCCAATTTAGTCTTGAAAAGCTTCCTAACAATTAGAGCTCTCCAAAAGTCCAAAGGGCTGATAGAATCCTTAAATACTGGTGGAATGACATCACAGAATCATAAAGAGATGGTGAGTGCCTCATCACTAGAGGTCTGGAGTAGATGCTGAATGATTGTTGGCTATGTGATAGTGGGAATTCTTTTTTGTTTGTTTGACTAGGAAGCCACAGAGGTCCCTTATCTTTGGGCCCACAGAGCTCTGCCTGCTCTGTTCAGCTTTCTTGATGGGTTGAGTGAAAGAAAAATGCAGATAAAGGAGGAGACTTTTCCCATCATGTCTTGAACTAACTGAACAATGGGAAAACTGTCAACCTTGAATATAAATTCTGTTCACAGCTCCACTGAAAAGTAAGCAAAAACGTGAGTAGAGCTTATAGGCTCATTATAGGTTGAGAACTGTAGATTGATTTTAGCCTGACTTCTTTCAGGCTAATGGTACATGGCTGATGTAGACACATGCTAATGATATGTTCAACTGAGGGGAAGCTCCTAGAGCTTCATGTCCTTCCCAGAGATGCGTCTGAGCTTGCTTCCCCTGTGGGCAGAAGAGGGTGGAGAAACTCAAAGAATGATGATAGAGTTGGGATGGTGTCACCACATCTCCTACTGTGCCATTAAGACGTCAGGAACATAGCCTTCAAGGCTGCTGAAGGCACAATTTTTTTTTCTATTTAAGAAACCACAGTCCCCTAAGTGTTAGAATATGACAACTGAAACAATCATCAACCACTGGCAGCATCGTTGAGGTGGTACTCTTGGTACAATGTACTACTCAGAGCCCAGGGATTCAAACAAACAGTCTTTTTACTAAAAACACATTCCAATATACTCAAGTAGTTAAAAGTTCAAGAAATTAAAAGCAGATAAAAGCAGTTAGCAAGAACTTTCCCCAGGGTTGCAAGAGCTCCCCTTCAAAGTCCCCCCAAACCACTTTTATTCTCTTCTTATCCAAAGGCCCCACAGCTGAGTCCTGTATCAATTCACCTGGGGGCAAAGTCAACCCAACTGTCCCAGGTCTGCACCATAACTTCCTTGTTGAAAACAGCCCTAGCCTGCATTGCGGAAATGTGAGGCATTAACTTACACCTCCCCAGTTTCATCAATATCCTGGCCAACAACAAGCATAGCACAGTGGAAAGATCACCGGATCCAGAGGCAGAGAATATGGTTTCAAATCCTGCCTATGCTAGTTATGGGGTCTGCAGCTTGGGCAAGTCATTTAACCTCTGGAATTCAGTTTGCTCATCTGAAAAATGAGGAAGTTTAGACTTTGTTGCTGTTCAGTCATTTTCAGTCATGTCCAACTCTTTGTGACCCCTTTTGGGGTTTTCTTGGCAAAGATATTGGAGTGGTTTGCCATTTCCTTCTCCAGCTCGTTTTGCAGATGAGGAAACTGAGGCAGACAGGGTTAAGTGACTTGCTCAGGATCACACAGCTAGTAAATGTCTGAGGATGGATTTGAATTCAGGAAGAGGAATCTTCCTAATTATAGGCCTAGCACTCTATCCATTGGGCCACCTAGCTACTCCATTAGATTAGACTATCCTGTCTAGCTCTGAAGTGATGAGCTTAGATTTGAGGTTCCCTGAAGGCACACTCAAGAGGACATTAGACCATCTTGTAGAGCAAGGAATAAGCAAAGAGATGTCAAGACACCAGGCAATCTTTACCACACCTCCCACAGCAATAGCCACGGCCAGGGAAAACCAGCTATTGCCCCAGCAATGCAGAGACTTTCCTCAGAGAGAGGGCATTCTATTTTTGTGAAGGTTATAAAGGCTCCCAAAAGCCCCTCAAAATAGAATGGTGATAGGTACTGAATTTCACCAGGGTCTACCTGACCACCAACCATATACTTCACTGGCCTTTCTAGGTCAATACGAACCAAACCGATGTCGTAGACTGCTATGTGACTCAATAATTTTGGAAGAATGAATATTGTATTCTGCTTCATGACCATGAGATCACAAGTCACTTAACCTCTCTCAGTCTTAGTTTCCTTATCTGTAAAATGGGGATAATAATACCTATAGGCTTTAATTCACAGAGCTGTTGTTAGAAACAAATGAGTACATAGGATCTTAGACTTAATGCTGGTAGGGTCTTTAGAGGTCATTTATTTTCTCTCTCTCCCATTTCTCTTCACATCCATTGGAAAAAAAAAAAAAGAAAAACCTTATAACAAATATACACAGTCAAGCAAAATAACTTCTCTCATTCGCCATGTCCAAAAATATATTAACTCATTCTGATCTTGAATCAATCACCTCTTTGCCACAAAGAGGGTAGAATGTTTCACTATGGGTTTGCTGGAATCATTGTTGGTCACTGACTTGATCAGAACTCTTCAGTGTTTCAGAGTTGTTTGTTTTTATAGTGCTATTATTATTGTATAAACTGTTCTCCTGGTTCTGCTCACTTCACTCTGCATCAGTTCATACAGGTCTTCCTATGTTTTTCTAAAATTGTACCCTTCATCACTTCTTACAACACAATAGTATTCTATTACATTCATATACAACCATAATTTATTCAGCCATTCCCTAACTGATGTGAACCCCTGCAGTTCCTAGGTCTTCGCCACTGGGGGAAAAAAACTACTATAAATATTTTATATATGTGGTCCTTTTTGTCTTTCTTTGATCTCTTTGGTGGTATAGATTTATTAGTATTCTCACTGAGTCAAAGGGCATGCACTGTTTAGTCAACTCCTTCATCTTGCAAATAAGGAAACTGAGGCCCAGAGATATTAAGTAACACCCAAGGTCACACTGGCAGTAAGTGACAGAGACAGGGTGAACTCAAGTCCCATGACTCCAGAATAAGTGCTTTTCCCACTCAACCAGCTTGTCTTTGAGACCTCTGCAAACCTTAAAGGCCTATGGAAATGTCAGCCATTTTATTATTGCTATACTTAAGGTCACCATGAAGTGTTTCCAAGTTCCCGCCTCAGACCAGAGAAATGGAGGTCCCATCCACCAGATACTCACGATGTCCCACAGGAAGTTGGTGGCCCAGTAGGTAGTTGGGCTCACACCGCTGACAAACTGCAGGTGCTTTGCTTTGCTCACTCTCTCCTGGATCAGATAGAGAACAAAGCTGGCTGGGACAAAGGACATGGCAAAGATCACACAGATGGCCACCATGGCATCGATGGAAGTGGTCAGCCTGCAAGGGGACAGAATGGGAGGAGGATTAGAGGCAGCACGTTATTAGGGAACACAGGAAGATATAAAACCTGCTTCTTTGCTACAATTTTCAAGCAGTCTGAGGCTAAGAGCTCCCAGAGTGCCACGAGTCCGGCCATGTCCCTCCACGATGAATTTCTCTACTCACTGAATCAATCGATAAACATTTATTATAGTCAGTCATTTATCATCAATCAATGAATTATTTATTTATTGCCCAGAATATGCCGGGCACTGTGCTAGGTGCTAACTAAAAGTGGAAAGGGCAGCCACGAAGAAAAGTAGCAAAGGGAGGACATAAACCTAGCTGTCATCATTCACCCTTGATGTTTCTACACGGCACCAGCCACAGACACAGACACCATCACTGCTGCCATGCAAAAAGGTCACTGAAGACACCCACATCCAGGGGCATAGGGAGGAGAAAATTCGTGGCAAGAGATGGAGGAGGAGCCAAACAGTGAGGCAGGGCTTGTGGCAATGAAGAAGATGGCATGGTCTGAACGATACTTTATTAGGAGCTCACTTTGGCAGCTGGGCAGAAGATGAACTAGGGTGGGAAGAGGCTTGAAGCAGGGAGACCAATTAACAGGATACTGTGATAGTTTAGGAGACAAGGACTTGAACTGCGACAGAGCCTTCGCCTCGACTTGCTTCCATGAATGAAGGACCTTGTGCCTATACCATCTGAGACTAAGTTAAAGGAATTAAGGATGTTTAAGCCTAAAGAAGGAAAGGCTCAGTGGTGGGTGGGCATGTTATGTGGAAAGGACCCTGCTTCTGGAGTCAGAAGGCCTGGGATCAAATCCTGCTTCTGGCATTTTCTGTCTGGATGACCCCAGGCAAGACACCCAACCTCTCTGCAGCTCCATTCTGCATCTGTAAAATAATAAGATTCAAGTAGATGTTTTCTGGGGTCCCTTTCTAGCTCGAGAATTGGGGTCCATGAATTTTGTTTGTTTGTTTCAATGCTGACAATTGTATTTCAATCTAGTGGGTTTTCTTTGTAAACTTATGTGTTGTATTGTATACATTTAAGAACAATATTCTGAGAAATGTCCACAGGCTTCACCAGCTTCCCAAAGGTGGTCTATAATATTAAAAAGGGGAAGAACCCCTAGCCCATACCTACAGACCTGTGACAGCTATTTTTTTTGGGGGGGGGGTGAGGTAATCAGGGTTAAGTGACTTGCCCAGGGTCATGCAGCTAATAAGTATCACACATCTGAGGCTGGATTTGAACTCAGGACCTCCTGACTCAAAGGCCAGAGCTCTATCCACTACACCACCTAGCTGCCCCTGACAGCTATTTTTAAGAATCTGTAAGGCTGTCATGTGGAAAAGGGATTAGATTTGGTCTGTTTAGTCCCAGAGGGAAAAACTAAAAGCTAAGAGGATAAAAGTGGCAAAGAAGCTCATTTAGATTTGATATTGGGATGGGTGGGTGGGGATTTTACTTGCCAATGAGCTATCTGAAAATAATGGGCCTCCGTCCTCTCACTAGAGTTGAGGGTGTTGCAGTGCCGGGCATTCTTTGGCGGGGGGAAGGGTGAGATGACCACTGAAATCTCTTCCAGCTCTGAAATTTGGATAGTCTACTTGCAGTATTTTGGCCTCCGACCTAGGAAGGATCTTAGAGGTCATCTTGTCCAGCTTGCTCATTGGACTGGTGCAGAATCTGAGTTCAATGGCTTGGCCAAGCTTGCACAGGGACTAAGGGGCACGTTCCAGAGGAGAATCCAGGTCCTCTGGCTGCAGACCCAGGGTTCTTTCCCTTGTACCAAGCTGCCTCCAGCTCACTGAAGTGGAATGAGGAAAGGTGGCAGGGAGGAAGGCAGGGAGCGTAAGGCCCAGGGGATGATGGACAAATGACAGCCTGCTTACACCGTGATCTCAGAGAGCTGCTCCTTGGTGAGGTTCAGCGGCTGGTTTATGAGGGTGATTCCAAAGTCCTCCGGGTCCATGTCTTTTGGCAGATTGGCTCTCAGGATTGCATTGTTAGCCACATTGAGGAAGCTAACCATTGCGTGCCAACCTTTGTTGTTGAACCACACCTAGCAGAAGAGAAAGAGTAATGCCTTTATTAACGTAAGCCACTGACACATGGAAACTGAGACACTACTCATCCTCATAGCCGATTCAAGTTGAAACTATCTGCAATGGGGAAAGAAATCTGGAAAGGAAGCAAATACATGGTATCTGATGCTCCTCACCAGATTCCAACTGGAAGAAGAATTTTCTTCATCTGGGAAAAGAAATAAGAAAAACAACTGGGCCATATGAAACTCAATGCCTTAGGACAGGTTACCTTAATGTTGTCTTCAGTTTCCAAATATTTAAGGAAATTGGACATTTCTTTCTCGGCCTCTCGGGTGGCAGGGCCCTAGAGTAGCAAAAGAAAGAAGCAAGAAAAGGATTTCTCAGTTACATTGGTGCCTTTTTTTCTTGTGTTTTGAGTAGTCCACATATCCCGTATCTGGCCACAGATAGAGTTCACTTACCCCGCTCACGTTCATAAGTTGACCAAGGTCACGTAAAAACCCAACTATGTCTTCCCCAGTGATACAGAAGACTGGAAGCTTTCCTCCAATAGAAATCCCTCCATACCTGTTCAGGGAACAAAAATTCTCAGGTCAGTGCAATGGTCCTGAATCCATGCCATGTGAAGGTTGGTCGGTAGAACTGGGAATGTTTATCATAAAGAAGAGAAGACTTTGGGAGTGGGGGTGTGGGGGTGGATTGGGGATACACATCACGATAGCTGACTTTCAGTATTTGAAGAATTGTCACATGGAAGATCATAAGATCCTAGATTTTAAATTGGAAGGGACTTTATAGACCATTTAGTCCAAACTCTTTCGTTTTAAAAATGAGATTAGACTTTTTCCTGCTTGTCTTCAGAGACCATACCTGGAAACACTGGTTGAAAATTACAACAACAACAAAAAAAAAAATGCAGGTTGGATGTCAGGAAAAATTTCTTAATAATTAGAGCTTTCAAAAAAAAAAAGAATGGGCTCCTCAGGAGGCAGTGAATGAGTTTCCCCTTACTGGAGGTCTTTAAGCAAAGAGTAAATAACGACTTGCCAAGTAGGTTGTAGGTAGGATTCTTGTTTGGATGTGGGTTGGGCTAGGTTGCTGCCAAGGTCCTTTCCATCTCAGAGATTCTGTGATTCTGAGGTATATTTGACCTGCTTTTGGAATTTACAGGTGTGCTAAAGAAGAAATAAGGCTATACCCAACCCCTTAGGCTCTGTCTGTCCTTAGACCAAAAGACCACAGGACTTTCTAAAATGTCTTAAGGGCCCAGTAACCATGTTTATGGATGGCATAATTATCCTCTAAGGGCACAGGTCAGAAGTGACAGGCCAGGGATCAGGCATGGGCTCTTGCTACTCTTATAGCTTGGCAAAGTCAAAGACCTCCAGACTCCATCCCGGATTAGAGTAGTAGGGCCCTACTCTGGATGGACTATTCAGAGATTTAAATTCCTTTAAAAAGAATGGGAAAAAGTTCCTTACCTTTGTTCATTGACCCAGTATTTGCTTTTCATGCTGAAAAACACAAATAAAATCATGTAATCAAACCAGTTGGAGTATTGATGTTAATTTCTCCCTCCTCCTTAATGTTTCCCCATCCTTTATCCTTATACTCCTCACCTAATTCTCAAGAGACCTTCAATTTTCTGGGCCTATGAGTGAAACTTTAATATTTAATAATTTTCCAAATATACAAAAATATGAGATAGATGCTGCAGCATCTGAACTCATCTCTCTTAAGGAAACATTTCCCAGCACAGGTGGGAAAAGAACAAAGCAGACCTAATGGTCTAAGGAGCAGGGGGCCAGGCAAGGCAGAAACTGAGGTAAGGACGATCTCTGGCCACTAGTAACAGCCAACAGAAGTCTCATTTGCTGTCCACAGTAGGCTGACCTCTTTCAAAGAGTTCAAATTGAGACTTATGGTCTGGCAAAGGTTGGTCTTTCTGAAAAGTCTCGTTAAAAGTACACTTTCTTCTCTCATATCAGGACTGTTTCAAAAATACAATAATTCACTACAACAAGCATTTGGTCACGTCCCAGCTATGTGCCAGGCACTATGCTAAGCACTGGGGACACAAGTACCTGCCCTGAAGGACCTTCCATTCTACTAGAGAATTCACAAAGTGTGGTTCTACAGGTTGCAGCCACTGGGAGCAGCTGGGTGATAGAATTGGCCACAAGTAAAGAACAAAATCTAATTTTTTATGCAGAAAAGAAAATCAGGTTGACTTTACTTCCCAAGCATGTAGGATGCAAGACATGAACATTTTAGGCTAGAAGTCCTCTAAGGTCCCTTCCAATTCTAAATCTAGGATCCTAACAACCTCTCTGTTAGGATCCTATCAACCTCTCCTTACCTGCTTCTTATAAGCGTGGGATATGTTTTTACCAGGAAGTCTGAGATGTTCCTGTTTGTGAGGTCTTGCAGGATTTCCGTACTGCGTTGTACTCTCTGGGGACATGAGAGAGGAATCCCCATTAAATACTTTGGAGTCTAGAGTCCCTTTAACTTCAGCAAACTCTAGTTAACGGAACAGTATCTTACCCAGTGAAAAACAAAGCTTTTTGTTTTCTTGGGGAATTTTGGTGAGATAGCAAAATGTGAGTGAAGGCTGAAGTGTGTATATTTAGCCACCAGAGGGGAGTATTGCTTCAAATTTAGGAGCAGATGCATTTTTTTTTTTTTTCCCAGCTCAGTCTGAATCAGCTTTCAGAAAGAGCAAGGCACACACGCCCCATCAACATGCCCTTTAATTGCTTAATTCTCTTGTGTTTATCTTTCCCTTCCCTTTTTTTCCCCCACCTCTTTTCCTTTTCTCCTTACATCTTTTTGCTTCCTTTCCCCTTGCTAGTGGCATCCATGAGCATTGCCAACTGCCGTGCTTGCCAAAGGTTGCTGACCTGAGGGACAGTCTTTTCCAAATAATGGTTTAACCTCTATCTAATCAGAAAACTTTGGACTCTAATTAATCCCTGGCCTGTTTTCCCTACCAAAAAAAATACCCTTTGTATTTTATTTTTTGTATATTTAATACATGTCCATCTTGGCTCTGCCAATAGAATGTGAGCTCCTTCAGGGTAGACACTGTTAATCCTTTGTTTTTGTACACCCAGGATCTAGTGTGGTGTCTAGCATACAGTAGATGCTTAATAAATACTTGCTCATTGATTGATCTAAGCCAGAGGTATTTCATCAGGGTCTGTGAACTTTTTGATAATTTGATGTTTTGATAATTGTATTTCAATACAATTATTTATTTTGCATTGTATGTTTTTTACTTTATGGATTTAAAAAATATTTTGAAAAGGGGTCCATAGTCTTCCCCAGATTGTCAAAGGGGTCCACAACACACACACAGACAAAAAGGGTTAAGAAGCCCTAATCTTGACTGTCCCTTTCATAGTTCAGGTACATCAGTCATCCCTCTTTGTTGCCCAAGAGTCAAGTCCAGAATTCTGGATTTGTGTATCTATGATTAAAGAATAGGTCATACACATTTTTTTAGAGCTGGAAGAGAACTTGGAGATCATCTACTTAGCCAGCAAAGTTCTTCATCATTACGAAAGCAAAAGTGAGAGGGCTGTTACTCCGTCCCCATCCACATACTTCCTGATATAAAATTCTTAGGAAGAGAGTATAGAATCTTAGAAAAGTCAGATCACAGGACCAGAGATTTAGAGCTAAAAGGGTCCTTAGAGGCCATCTTGTCCAACCACCTCCCCTTCATTTTATAAATGAGCAAATTGAGTCCCAGAGGAGTGAAGTTATTTGTTCAAAGTCACAAAGACAGCAAATGGTAGAGCCAAAATTCAAATCCAGTTCCTCAGCCCCAAATCTAGCCATCTTTCTCCTGAACCAGTCATACAACACAATCTGCCTTGGATCCTTGTAACTAATCAAGGTCCCAGTGATGAGTCCCTCTTGCCAAGAGGGATTAGATCTCTTTTGCCTGGCTTAGATTTCAGGGGCACAGATTTCACAGATTTTTAGGTCCATAGATTCCAGTTCACCTCAGAAACAATTCTTAATAAGAATAGTTGTTGAACAATGAAATGAGCTGGTTCATCTGGTGAATTTCCCATCATGGGAGATGTTCAAAGTACAGCATGGATACTTGCTGTATCCATTTTTCACTTGTCACAGACGTTGCATAGGAGATTCAGATTTCAGTTTAATAGCTACCTTGTTGAGCTAGATGACCTCTGAGATCCCTTCTAATTTCTTCTTTGGGCTGAACTTGATTGACAAGTAAGTAAGCACAAACTCACCTAAGAGAATGAATCTCGCTGACCTCAGATCACGTTTCATATCCCCAACCTCAGACATCTTTCTAGGTTTCTCTTGACTTTTGTGTTTTCATTTCAAAGCTTCTACTCAGTCTTTTCACCATGAATGCTTTAAAGTACTCTATTATATTAAAGATTTGTTTGTCTTCCACTGTAGGATATTACTGAGTAAATTTGGTTGGTTGCAAATCTTTATCTTTGCCTTTTGGAATATTCTATGTGGAGATTTTCTCTCCTTTATAGTATTACTGCTAAGTCTTTTGTGTGATGGCCGACCTCTGCTCTTTGGTCCTTGAACTCTTTATTTCTGGACACTTGCAGTATTTTTTGACATTTTGGACATTACTGGCTAGATGTTTTCAGTTTAGGGTTTCTTACAGGAAAATTAGTGGATTTTTTTTTTTCTATTTGTGCTTTGTCTTCTGATTTGAATAGATTCAGGAAATTTTTAAAAATTATTTCTTGAAATATGGCATTCAGATTTTTTTGGAGGGTGGCTGGTTATGGTTTTCAGAAAGATCCTTACATTTTCTTTCCTTAATCCATTTTCTTAGTTAATTATTTTTGATAGTAGATACCTTATACAGTGCCTGGCACATACTTTTAAGTATTTAATACATGCTTTATCTCATTGCTTATATTTTCTTCTATTTATTTTTCAGCCATTTGACTTTATTCTAATATTTCTTGTCTCATGGATTCACTGAATTCTGTTTGCTCCATTCTATTTTTCAGGCTCCTTCCAGCTCTTAAATGCCTGATTTTATGTTCCTAATTATGCCACTTGTCTGGGTCACAGAATGAGTGAGATGAAACAAGGTGTTATCAGCCTGAAAAAGTAGTCTGGAGCCAGATATGTAAAGGCCTTACATGCCAGAGGAGTCTGTATTTCATCTTAGAGGCAACAGGGCAGGGGTGTGCTAGAGCCAACCAGCCAGTGCAAGTATTTATGCCTCGGAAACTATCAAACACTACAAATCAAGGGTTGTTTTGTTGTTCAGTCTTAAGACAGTGTTGGAGAAAATATTAATAATGCAGATTAAACTTAAAAGTATTCAGCGTATAGGTTTGCTTGTTTTTCAGCTAGGTAACTACTAAACATTTACCAATATGTCATTGTAATAGGGAGCCACTGAAGCTTCTTGAGCAGGGGAGTGACATGGTTAGATCTGGGCCATAGGAATGATGCTGTAAATTGGTGTGTAAATGATTAGAGAGAGGCAGAGGATGGGAGTGTGCTAAGACCATAATGCTGAACACATAGCAAACCCTGGGGAAGTATCGGCTGGGTGACTGAGTGGGAAGGTGGATCTGGTGGTCATCCTGTTCTTTGGCCTGGGTCCTTTTCCATACTATTTCCTATAGCTCCCTCTGGGTAGTTCACTACAAAAGGAAATGAGGGTGCAGTGTGGCCCCCTGCTCAGCTCCTGTTGGCTAGGATGCATCATGTATTTACTGTTTGGATGTTATGCTCAGTGCCCAGACTCCCTTGGAGAGCTGCCCAGTACCTGGGGAGGAGGGGGTCCCCCTGCCCCCGCAGGGCATTCTGGGAGCATCATGAGCTTCTCTCGGGTGCTGCACTTGCAGGCAGGAGAGGGGTTGTCTGCTGTCCATTTTTGCTTCTGGAACAGGAGAGTCACGTTAGGAGAAACAGAGGGGGTCTTCCAGGATGTTGAATTGCCACAGGGATAATTCCTGGATCAGGAAAGAGAGAATATTTTAAATTCCAGTTATGACATTCATAAAATCCTCAGAAGCAGCATGAAACACAGGATCACATCCTGTTAGATCAGCATTCAATTCAATTTAGCAACTATTTATTAAACACCCACTATATGCAGGACACAGTGGTGGGGAAGGGACGCTGAAATATGCAGGTGACTTAAACATTTACCTTTAAGACATCTCCTTCCTACCTTTTAGAGTTCTACAATAACAAGAACAACTTTTTCTTTCCTTTTTTTTTTAATGCCTCCAGGAACCTCATCATTTTTCAACACTATATCAGCCTTGGTACTCCTACTTCATCAGTATCCTCATTACCCTCAGCCCCTTTGATGGGAGGTTAAGCAGAAAGACCCTTGCAACATATCCATTTAAGGAAGGTGCCCAGGTCAACCATCTCTTCGTTTCCCACCTAGCTGCACTGTTTTGGACTTCTCCATCATATTGCAGCACAAAGTGCCTCCCTCCTTCCTTTTCAATTTTCTTTTGTGTGGGGTTTTCCCTCATTAGACTGTAGGCTTCTTGAGGGTAGGGATTGTTTTCATTTTCCACATTTGTTATCAGCAGTGCTTAGCATAATGCTTGGCACATAGTAGGCAGTTTATTAAGTATTTATTGACTTTTGACTTTTCCCCAATACCTGTGATCTTATTCCCGTCTGGGAATTTCCAGTATAGAAACTTCCTTTGCCAGTGAAGATTGGCAATATTCTGTAACCTCAAGCCTCAGAGTTGTCTGGGGACACTGAAGGGTTAAGTGAATGTCCATGGTCACACAGCTAGAAGGTGTCAGAAGCAGAGAATGAACCCATCTCTTCAAAGTTTGCTCTCTGTCCCCTCCTCCATGCTGACTCTCACTAATAACAACTATGCTTTATAGAGCACTTTAATATTGCCAAAGTATCATAAGTTCTATAACTTGAGCCTCATGCCAACACTGTGAGATTTTATTATCCCCATTTTGCAGACTCTGCCGCTGAGGCTCAAAGAGATGTGCCTAAAACCATGGAAGTAGTGGGATGAGGGGATATGATAACTATGCTAATAATCATAGCTCTGATAGGATGTAAGTGTCCTATGAGGACAAAGTGCTATGGATGGGTCAGAAGATGGAAAAAAGGTTAGGTTGGTGAGAAGCACTTGACTTGGGTTTGACAAATGAGTAGGATTTCAACAGACAAACCTTTTGGATGAAGGGTAGTTTTTGCTTAGAAAATCCCGATAATATATATAGGTTGTAAAGCTGTAGGATCATTTATGCTTCTACAACCAAATTACTCAATTCAGCAAATTTTTAGTAAATACCTACTATATATACAGACCTATAGTAGACAGTGTTGTTACAAATACACAAATGAAACAGTCCCTGCCTGCCCTTAGGGAACTTACATTTCAAAGATCAATTACAGTCAGAGACCAAGTCCTAAACTGTTTTGTACCACCCCAATCTTCACCTCCACAGGGCCTAGACAGTGCTTTGTAAAAGTTGCCTGTGGTTTGATTGATTCACTAATTTTTCAGGGACATCTTCTCCAGTTGGTAGATTGTGCAGGTTCCTTTTCTCCCTCTTTCTCTCCTTCTGGCTATTTTTCTCCTTCTTAGCCCCATTAGGAGATGAAGGGTGTGAAAAATAAAAGATGAAGTTTTGATATGCTTATTTGGCTGCTGATCAGCTCTGAAAAAAAAAGATGAATAGGGGAAATATGGAAATGATGAGGAAATTTGGGGATTGCCTCTAGATCTGCCTCTTACAGCCTCATTCACAGAATTTTAGAGTTGGAAGAAACTTCAGTGGCCATCTGATTCAGCCCACACAAGAAAAAGGGTTTGGACTTTAATATACCTGACATGATGCCATCTAGTTTTTGCTCAAAGAACCTTTAGAGTGTGTAGAGACCTACATTCTTTTAAGGTAGCCCAATCTATTTGGGGATAACTAACTACTCTCCAATTCTTATAACACTGATGTTTGAGAGTCAGCAATTTATGTATACAAGCACACCCTCAGTCTGGTTTCATAGCATTCTATCCTCCACACCTCCTTGAAAGAGGTCAGAGGGTGAGAGAAGTCTTTTGTGTTGATTCCTTTGGGTTTTCCCACAACCTCCCTGATAAGACCATAATTATTCAGGGCTAGAAGGCACCATCACTCCCTGGAAGATCATCTAGTACAACTGCCTTCCTCCAACTCTGCCTTTTTAAAAAATATTTACAGATGAGGAAACTGAAGCCCAAAGAGATTAACTGCCTTATTCAAGGTCACATAGGTAGAAAGAAGTTGAATCAGGGTCTCCTGACCCTGGAGTGGAACTTAGGTCTTGTCCCACTACACCATACTGGCTTTCACTTGTTAAATTTCTGCAACAAGCCTGTACTCCCAGGAACTTTCTGCCGCTCTCTTTTCCATTTGGAAAACTGGAAACAAAAGGAAATTCAGACTTACGGGAAGACCTCTTCTTTCAGGCAGCGATTTCCAAATCCTGGTCTATTCAGGAGGACTTCAGCAAGAGTTGACAGTTGTTCGTTGCCTGGCTGTTCAGAACTAAGCAAATTGGGAAAAGTCTTATTTTACAGAAACAATTCTGAGCCAGAGCACACCAAACCAGCTGTTATTGGGACCATGTGTGAAGGAAACTGACTTGAAGTAGTCACTAACCCATTGGAGGATGGGTATTTATTTCTGATGCTGGAGCAGAGCAATTAACAGTAATAACAGCTCACAATATATAACATTTTAAAATCTGAAAATCACATTGCATACATCATTTCATTTGTTCTTCCCCAAAACACTATGAGAGAGCAGGAATCATTATCCTCATTTTGCAAATAAGTTAATAGAGGCATAGGAAGATTAAGTGACTTGCTCAAAATTCATGGGTATTAAGTGTCAGAATCAGGATTCAGACCTAGATCTCCTGATTCTCAATCTTGTGATTTTTTTTCACTCTCCCATAATGCCTATCCAGTTTAAGTGAATTGGCCAAAGTCATCTGACCAATGAGTATCAGAGCCGGAACATTTAAACATAAATGCATCTTATGAAGGCCCAAAGATGTATATAATATGTATGACCTGTAGAGGTTTGGCTTCAACCCCTAATGGTGTTCTTTCTCTCTGTGGGTCATTTTCTATGGGTATTTGCCTGACTCTGGATATTGCCTATATTATAACTTTCCAGGAAGTGAAAGCAGAAGCTCAGATGTCGATGGTCAGCCAGTGGTAGAGAATTCATTAACTTCCCAATAGAGTGGGCAGGTCAAAGGCCCTTGGAGCAGCCTACAACTCTATTTAGGAAGGTATGGACACACTTGTGACACACAAATGTGTGTCATAGACCAGAGAAAGAACAGGAGAAGCAAGATACCTAGTGACCTCTTAGACTCCTGACCTGAAGAAGGTATACTGCTGTCCATAAATCCAGGGGTGAAGCGTCAAAGGAGGATACTCTCCAAAAGGGGGGATGATGACAGCAAGCAGCAAAGCCAAACACACAAAGCCAGCTGGGAGCACAATCTGTTAGACAAAAGAGATGTTAGACCTGATCACCTCCAGGGGCAAAGGTAAAACCCTCTGGCTGGTGTTCAAAGCCCTTCATAAGCTGCCCCCTACCACACTCCCTTTCCAGCCTTCTTAAACCTCTAGGAAGTGGTCAGACTGGGATTCTAATTTCAGTCTTTAGAATCCAAGCCCAACACTCTTTCCACTATGCCACATAGGCTCTCATCACTTAACAATAGCTAGTGTTTATTAAGTACCTATTATGGGCCAGGCAATTTACAAATACTATCTCATTTGATCCTCACAACAACCATGGGAGGTAGGTGCTATTAGTATCTCCGTTTTACAGTTGAGAAAACTGAGGCAGACATAGATTGAAGGACTTGCCAGGGTGGGACAGTAAGTGTCTGAGACTGGATCTGAACTCAGGTCATCCTGATGCCAAGTCCTACACTCCATCTACTGTGCTACCTTATATACCTTATATTCTTCTATGGCTCAGTTTCCCCTAGGTTAAAAAAGGGAGATAATAATAACACTGATGTGCCAGGTGTAGTGTGAGGATTAATTAAGAAGTGACTATAAAGTTCAATGCAAATATTTAAATAATTTATAAGAACATTTTCACTCTATCTTTTTTTGGGGGTCTGAATCTGTTGATTTTACTGCTGTAGGGAGCTCATGGTGAGGGAAAACCCTCATCAATTTATATCAGCTCTTGTTCTGCAAGGAGAGTCTTAGAGAGTTGCCTATATAATATAAATATAAATTATACTATTTTTACTACTCAGTTGAGTTTGATTTTAATGAAGCCATTTTGTGATATTGAATAATAATAATAATACCTAAGCTTTTCATATAGGTTATCTCATTTGACCCTCACAAGAATCCTGTGAGGTTGATACTATTATTATCCCTATTTTACAGATGGAGAAATTGAAGGAGATAGGAAAGAGAGACAGAGAAGAGAGGAGAGGAGAGGAGTGAAGAGACGGACAGGTGAGAGAGGAGAGAGGCAGAATACTTCTATGAGATCATGAATGCATAACAGGTGAGATATAATAAAAAGCTTGCCAGGTTGGAATCACAAACCTTAGAACTGTCTCACCATTCATAACAGTGTCAAGTCCTAAGGAACATTTGATTAAAACCAAAGGGCTGAATACCTGAGCAAGGAAGTCTTTGTGGCTCCGGACGGCACGGTGGAACCTCTTAATGAGTAAAGCCTGGATGTGCTGACAGAGCAGCTGAGGCCCCTTGTTCAGCTGCACCCCACTGTCAGAAGGCTCCTTGCCTGCCTGGCCTTCAGCAGGATGGGTTTGTTCTGGGGCTGAGGAGCCATTGGAGGCCTGGGGTCCTCTTGTTGCTTTCTCATTTCTACTGGAACTGGGATTTCTAAAGCTAAAACTTGGTCCTTTCTGCTGAGTGTTACCTGATTTTGGAAATTAAAGGGATCATTTGAAAGAATGCTCACAAGGAAGATATGAAAAAATATCATCCAAAGTTTACCAGCCATCTTTATCCATAGCGGCCTGTAGAAAATCATACCATGTCCTTGGCACTTAGCATGGTAAATTACATATTTTTGGACCTAGGATTTAAATAAGGATAGTGAACTCCCAGTGAGTAAAATTCTCCCACCAATGCAGATTGGTACCTCCATTGCAATTTCCAATCTTAGGGGGCTCCCTGGAGGTCTGGGACCGTTAACTGACTTGCCCAGAGGCACATAGCAAATATATGTCATAGGCTAGACTTGAACCCTGGTCTACTTGACTCTGAGGCCAGCTTAGTTAGTCAATCAACAAGCATTTATTGAGCACTTACTATGTGCCTGGTACTGTGCTAAGTATTGGTGATAAAAAGATAGGCAAAATGTAGTCCCTACCCTCTAGGATGGAATATTTTAATGCTGGAGACAACACTAGAATGGGGTTTAATCTGATGGCATTTGAAAAAACCCTATAACCTCAAGGTTAACTTTAGAACCATGAGAGGGATAGGTAGCTTTGCTCTGGAAATCTGGCCTTCCAGTGGACTTGGGGTTGGGGATAGTGAGTCCCAAAGTATGTGGGGGGGGGGGGGGGGTGGGTGCTTTCTCACTATTAGTTTTCAACAGTTTCTACCTATAGCTTTCCTTGCCATTGTGCACAAAGGCAGGTGATTATAGGATCATAGATTTAGAGACAGAAGGGAGCTGAAAGGCCATCTAGTCCAACCTCTTCATTTTTCTTCATTTTACAGAAGGAAACTGAGGCCCAGGGAATTGCCTAAGATCACACAGTAGTGAGCAGCAGAGGGGGTTTTTGAACCCAGTACTCTAACTTAAAAGCCATGATCATACAATGGGAAACATCAGATGTGCTCTAGAGAGGCAAATGACAGCTGTTTTGAGCTCCCCAAGGCTTCAACTGAAGTGATTCTCACAGTGAGAGATTCTTTAAAAAGAAACAAAAACACAATCTCCAGCATACAAACAGCACTCCCAATTCAGAAAACAAAATCATCAACCCATACCTACAAACAGTGCTCCTGATTCAGAATCTCCTGTGACCCTCAGGAAAATCTGCCAAAAAAAAGGAAATTGTAGATGTGAGTTGGGTACTTCTATCTAAAAGGTCATTGGGAAAATCTGTCCAAAAGTTTGATTTTGTTAAGTTTATGTGGGGGAAAATACGTTCTAGCTTTTCATTCATTCATTCAATCAGTTAATAAATATGCATAAAGGATAAAAAATTTAGAGAAGGGACAGACACTGGCCTCATTGAGCTTACAATCTAGTATGAAGATAAGACACAGGCCTGTGTAAGAGAGGATTGGTCAAATGAATCCCTGATCCATTTGATGAGTTCCTCCTCCCTCTTTCCCATAGCTCAGCTGTACTCTGGTCTGCAATCCATGGGAAAGGAAGGGGAAAGGGACGGGGAGGGGAAGACTCAGAAAGAGACACAGAGAAAGACAGGGAAGAAGAGAGGTGCACAGAGAGAGAGAGACAGAGACAGACAGACAGAGAGAGGGAGAATCTCAACCAGCTCACTTTATAGACTTGGGGCAGGGGTCATTCTTCCCAAAAAAATCTTGACCTCTGACTCCCAGTCACTAATCACCTTGCAGCAGCGACCACAGGAGCACCCTGGCTCCTCTCAATAAGGTGTCAGGATGCCCGGCCTGCCAGACAGACCTTTCTGATGCCTCCAGGTATGAAGGTCCATCCTGTATCATCTCTTCAGGTACATTGAGGAACCTCACCGAGTTTATCAGAATCCCTTACACCAAGATAATTCACAGAATCCCCAGCAGAGCCTCTTTTACCTCTTCTAGTGGAGTGTCAGATATCCCAAAGCTGCTGAGACCCAGGTCGGGGAGAGTTTCCTCCAACTCTCTGAAGAGGCTGGCATAGGCCCGCTGCTTGACATCCTTATTTGGGAGGAGAAAAATAAGCTCTTGGCCAATACATTCTACTAGCTTTGCTTCTGGCACGTGGTGGCGGATCATTTCAATCAGCTCATTTATATCTCCTGGAAAGAGTCAGAATGTTATCGGTTAATCAGTAAGGATTAATCAGGGGTTTACTATGTGCCTTTACAAAGACAAAACTACAACAGTCCCTGCCCTTAGGAAGCTTACATTCTGTTGGAGAGAGACAGCTTGTCCACAGTTTGTAGATACAAGACACAAAGTAAATACGAGGTAATAGTTGGGGGAGGGGGTGGGGAAGAAGGGTGGAGGTGGGGGGTTGGCAGGAGAGATGCTAGTTCCTGGGGAGAACAGGAAAAACTTCATGTGACTATCTTATCCAGAGACCAATTTTCTGGTTTGTAGGTTTGCTACAATCTCTGCTGTTTCCCCTTCTCTTCTCCCATCTATCCTTCGGCAAACTCACTACTCATTATTGGAACTTTTTAATGTGGGGAGTAGTAGGAGCCAGAATGTGGGGTAAAGCTCAAGTTAAATTGCATTAGTTTGACAATTCCCATGAAAGGCACAAGAGGCAGGGTGGCAAACACGCCCATAAGGGGCACCCTGAAGTAATATAGTAACCAACCAGCCATTCAACAATCAGGTCTTTCTTCAAGGCTCGGAGGCAGCCCTCTATCCACTATACCAGGGGTAGGGAACCTGTGGCCTCCAGGCCACATGTGGCCCTCTAGGTCCTCAAGTGCAGCCCTTTGACTGAATCGAAACTTCACGAACAAATCCCCTCAATAAAAGGATTTGTTCTGTAAAACTTGGACTCAGTCAGAAGGCCACATCCAAGGACCTAGAAGGCCACATGTGGCCTGGAGGACACAAGTTCCCTACCCCTGCACTATACCATGCTGCTTCTCAAGAATGTGAAAATAAAATACAAATACCCCCAAAGAGTTTCAATCCTTTGCGTCATATTTATTTTTAGAAATGGGTAACAAGAAATGAAAATTGAGGGAGAAGGGCAACCTCTTGGATTAGATTCCCCTTGCAGAATGCAAATTACTCAAGGGCAGGAACAGATTCATTTTTTGTTGTGAGATGTGTATGCCTATAGGCCACCTAGGTGGTGCAGTGGATAGAACCTCTCGGCATGGAGTCAGGAAGACTCATCTTCCTGAGTTCAAATCCAGGCCCCAGACACTTATTAGTTGTATGACTCTGAGCAAGTCACTTAACCCTGTTTTGCCTCGGCTTCCTCATCTGTCAAATGAGCTGGAAAAAGAAATGGCAAATCACTCCAGTATCTTTGCCTAGAAAACCCCAAATGGCTCACAAAGCGTCAGATATGACTGAAAAATGATTAAACAACACATATGCCTACATGGGATGTCTAAATATCTAGACATGGCTCAAGGGTGATTTGGATAGCAATTCTTGGAATCTGATCCCCCACCCCTTCTACAAGAGAGACTGTAATTTCTGCCTTTAGTGGGGAATAAAAGAAAGGCTATGACCCTTCTCCAAGAAGAATACTAGTTTAGATTTATATCTATCTGCCCACCCCCCCATTAAATAATGCTCATCTAAAGGTACAAGTCTGGGTCAGAACTAAAGCCACTTCTCTGGTCCCTAGCCCTCAAGAGTGAGGGTAGCCCTTTAGTTTAAACTCACCATCTTAACTCTTTCCCATCAAATGCTCATTATATAAAAAAGCATCACAAATAATAATGAATAAACCCATTTATCTATGTAAAACAGCAGATAGAAATTGAAGAATCTCTACAGATATTTACTAGAAAATAGACAAGAGTGAAATTTCTTAAGATGGAAACTAGATAAGATCTCAACTCCAGGAGAGAAAGACCCTAATGGCAACAAAGGGAAAATTTCTCTTTGAAGTCTCTAGGAAAGCATGGTGGATTTCAGGGACATGTTGAGAAACCAGCTTCTCCTTTATAGCTGCAGCTCTGAAAGTCCTTTTAATTCTCTCTCTCTGTTTCTCTCTGTCTCTCTCTGTCTCAAAGTGTGTATTTCACCCAAAAAGCTCTGGCACCAGCTCTGCCCCTCACACACAGGTTCATAGCATCCTGTCAGCATTCTCTACAACAATTAAGAATCATATGAAATTAGGGGCATGAAAAATGCCCGCAAGCTTGGCATGAAAAATGCCCGCAAGCTTGGCTGGAAACTTGGTCACACTGTCTTTGTATCTATAGTGCCTGGTACAAAGTAGGCACTTAATAAATGTTCTATGACTGATTGATTGCCTGCATCCCTAGATAATGTAATCTCCCTAATGCAGAACTCCAATCATATCACTTCTGCATCTAAACCTTTGGGGCCCTCCTGTTGCCCAATGAACAAAATATAAACTTAAGGGCTTTGAAAATCTGCTATTGACCTTTCTTTCCAGACTTATTTCACATTATTCCTACACACTTACTGTATGCTTCAGCCACAGTGGATGATTCATTGCTTTCTCTTCTTGCCCTATTCTCTCCTATATACCTGTGTATTTCTGAGGATGCCACCCACCATGCTTGACTTCTTTCCCCCCTCCTCTCCTCTCACTTATTGACATTTTTCTCCTCCAAGGCCCAGATCAATTGCCACCAGCTCCCTAAAGCCTTCTTGATTTCCCCCAGATAGTCCCTCCCTCCCTAAGTCTCCCAGGCCACCCAGTTTAACCTTATTTTTATGCACTTAGTTATTTTTAAATTTGTATTGTAGTTTTTTTGTATACCCACAATACTCCTTCCTTTTACATTCTACCTCCTCCCTAACTTCTGACACACTGCAGCCCTGAGAGCATTGGGCAAGTCAGAACCTCTCAGTGCTCTAGGTAACTCTCCAAGACTAGAGAATATAAATTGGAGAGAAAGTGCCAATCTACTTTGCTGGAGGGAGTTTTCTCACCTGAGAGATCCCTCTCCAGTGAAATTGGGTTTTTTCCCTACTCCTAGCCTTCCAGCCCCTCTGTTTGCTCTTTGGACTTGTCGTTACAGGGGTGTACTCTCCCCGCCACCTATTCCTATTTCTAGTTCCTACTTATGGATTGTCTCTCTTTTTTTTTAAATTGAGATTAAATAAAAATAGAGATTAAAAAATCTCTAATGCTTAGCATGATTCCTGGCACTTAATAAATGGTCGGTCTGTCTGTCTATCTATCTATCTATGTATCTATCTATCTATGTATCTATCTATCTATCTATCTATCTAATCTATCTGCCTATCTATCATATATATATTCATCTTTCTATCTATTTATCCCTTATACATGACGTTAGGTTGTACACCTGTAATCTCATTGGTATAGGGAACTCCCAGGTGAGGAAACTCCTTCTCCTAATGCAGGGCAGCACCTTCTCTCCTTATAGAAAGTAGGTGCTTGATGATACCAATAACAAAAATAACAAAATGATTACATGAATTGATGCAGAAAAAGCTTTTGATAAAATATAACACTCATTTCTATTAAAAACACTTGAAAGCATAGGTATAAAGGGATTTTTCCTTAAAATCATAAGAAACATCTATCTAAAACCATCAGTAAGCATTATTTGTAAAGGAGGTAAGCTAGAAGACTTCCCAGTAAGATCACGAGTGAAACAAAGATGCCCATTGTCACCGGTATTATTCAATATTGCATTAGAAATGCTAGCAATAGGAATAAGAAAAAGAAATTTAAAGAATCATTCTTTAATGAGGTAATAAAATAAAATAATGAGGTAATAAAACTATTTCTTCTTTCAGACAACATGATGATACACTTGGAAAATCCTAAAGATTCAACTAAAAAGTTAGTGGAATAATTTTAGCAAAGTAGCAGGATATAAAATAGACCTATATAAATCACTAGCATTTCTTTATATCACCAACAAAACCCTGCAAGAAGAGATAGTAAGAGATACCCCATTTAAAATAATTGTAGACTATATAAAATACCTGGGAATGTATCTACCAAAACAAACCTAGGAACTACATGAACATAATTATAAAACACTTTTTATACAAATAAAGTCAGATTTAAATAATTGGAAAAATATTAATTGTTCATGGGTAGGTAGAACCAATATAATAAAAATGACAATTTTATTGAATCTATTTATTCACTGCCATCCCAATTAAATTACCAAAAAATTATTTTACTGGGATAGAAAAAATAAAAACAATTCATTTGGAATAACGAAAGGTCAAGAATATCAAAGTAATTAATGAAAAAGTGTAAAGGAAGAAGGTTTAGCTATACCAGATTTTAAACTATACTATAAGGAAGTAATTAATAAAACTATCTGGTACTAAGATATTAAGAAATAGAAAGGTAGATCAGTGGAATAGAATAGACATACAAATGAATATAGCAACCCTATAATAATAATAATACCACACCTAAAGATTTAAGCTTTTAGGATAAGAATTATTTGGCAAAAATTGTTGGGAAAGCTGGAAAGCAGTCTAGCAGAAAATGGACATAGGCCAATATCTTAAACCTTTTACTATTTAGATAAGGTCAAAATGGATACATGACCTAGGTATAAAGGGAGATGTCATAAGAAAATTAGAACAACAGGGAACATATTACCTATCAGACTTATGCGTAGGAGAATAATTTATAAGTAAACAAGAGATAGAGAGCATTATGCAGTATAAAATGAATAATTTTGATTACATTAAATTAAAAGTTTTTTGTACAAATAAAACCAATGTAGCCAAGATTAGAAGGAAAACAGAAGTTCTGGAGAAAAAATTTATAGAGTTTCTCAGATAAAGGTCTCATATATCAAGTATATAAAGAACTTTGTCAAATCTGTAAGAATATGTGTCATTGCCCAATTGACAAATGGTCAAAGGATATGAATAGGCAGTTTTTCTATGAAGAAATCAAAACTATATATAGTCATATGAAAAAATGGTCTAAAACAATATTGATTAGAGAAATGCAAATTAAAACAACTTTGAGATATCATCTTACACCTATCAGATTGGCTAAAATGATAGAAGGAGAAAGTGACAAATGTTGGAAGGAGTAGAGAAAAATTGGGACACTAATTCACTGTTGGTGGAACTGTGAATTGATCCAATCGTTTTGGAGAACAATCTGGAATGATGCCCAAAGACTTATAAAAACCGTGTATACTCTTTTACCCAGCAATACTGTTATTAGATCTGTTTCCTAAGGTGATTAGGGGAAAAGGAAAAAGAACTTATAAGTTCTAAAATGTTTATAGCAGCTCTCTTTGTGGTGGCGAAGAACTGGAAATTGAGGGGATGCCCATCAATTGGGGAATGGCTAAAAGAGTTGTAGTATATGACTGTGCTGTAAGAAATGATGAGCTGGTTGATTTTAGAAAAACATGGAAAGACTTGAATGAAATAACAAAGAGTGAAATGAGCAGAACCAAGAGAACATTGTACACAGTAACAGCAATACTGTTCTAAGAACAACTTTGAAATGATTAAGTCATTTTGAGTATTCATTTGTAAAATGAGGGAGTCGGATTCAGTGGCATCTAAGTTCCTTTCTGGCTCTAAAGCTTTGATCCTATGACCCAGGGCCTTAGATGTCATTTTTAGACCTCAGGGCCTTTTAATTTGGAAGGGGAGGGAGAAAACACTTAGCCTTGGTTAGATCTGAGAGGTACAGGGGGCATATTTTCTTCCTGTCATTAAAGTTCTGCAGAGCAGGATACACAAGGCAGGGATGAGAAATGGAAATAAAAACAGAAGGACACCAACCCAAAGTACAATATGCCGACATTTTCATTGCTTACCATCCAATACTTGTTCTGCCGTTATCTCTCCAACCTTTGGGCAGCTGATGGATGGACCTTTGGGTGTACAGCTGCAGGTGTCCTACAACAGTCCAATGAAAGGGAATGAGAAAATGTCAATCATTTCAGTAGTCATGTCCAATAGGCACGTGTTCTCCTTGATTACCATCCCCATCCCTATTTTGCCATAGCTAGGAATGGTAAACAAAAAAAATCTCATCAGTATAATGCGATTATTGAGAATGTCATTGAGGAAGCTGTTACTGGGCAAAGGAGGGATAGAGCAGGAGAGGAAGGGAAAAAGCCCTTATCATCCTATCTCTTCCTATGCCTCAGCCTATGTTTCACTCCTAACCCTATTCTTCATCCTCACCAGGACCTCCAGTCCCACCATTCCTCATTATTTATTCTCCCAGGTCATCCTCCCTGCCTGGGCTTCACTCTTCTTCCTTCCTGATCTTGGCCTTATAGTTCGCACTACACTTTGCTCTACTCACAAATCCCTTTACCTTCAGGAATTCTAGAGGCTATTTCCTATGCTGGGAAAAATGCATTCCTTCCTCACCTCTAGCTCATAGAATCCCTTACTTGCTTCAAGACTCATCTCAGACATCACCTTCTACATGAAGTCATTTCTAATCACCCCAGCTACCAGTGACTCATCCCCTCAAATTACTTATTTTGTAGAATGTGTATATACATATATATATATACACACACATATAACCTCCCTACATATTATATCGTATGAATACAATAGATAGGATACATGTTTCCTCTCTTGATAGATTCTTGAAGACAGGGTCTGTTTCAAATGAGTTAACATTTGTTAATTCATTTAATTTGTTAAAGCAAAGTATTTGCAAACCTTTAAAATGCTATGTAAATGCTAGTTATTATAATTATTATTAATTTACTTCATGTATCTAGCACCTAGCACCTGATACATAGTAGGTGCTTAATAAATGCTTATTAATTGATTGCTTAAAAAAAAAACCAACAAGCTAGTTGTGTGATCTTGGGGGAATCCTCCATTGTTTGTCCTTGTTCTTGAAGAGGACCATCAGGAAGGTGATGTCATGACTTACAAGTGAATTGGATTTAAGGGAGGGAGGCCTGTGCAAAGTCAGCAGCCTCACTCTCTCCTCCTGAGCCCTCTGGGTCCAGTGGCAAGATACAGATCAGTACAACTTCAGTTGGCCCAGATACAATGGGAGGCCTTGGCCTTTTTAAGCTAAGGTCTTTCCCAGGTCTCAGTTTGACTGAGGCAACACCCATTCAGTGATTAAGGCTAGGTAAGAAATGAAGCAAAGAATGACCTCTTTTACCTAGACAAAAAAAAAACAAACTCAAAAACCAAAAACCCCATAAAATCAATCAGGGGATTTGGGGTGAATCACTTAATGTCTCAACGCCCCAGGCAACTCCCTAAGACTGTTAAGTAACAGCAGAGCTGTTGTAAAGCAGGAGGGAATTTCCTCACCAGGAGTTCCTTACACTGATTCCTTATACGATTTTTTTAAAGTCCTAGAATATTAAAACTGGAAGGAACCTCCTAGACCATCTAGTGCAACCTCCTTATTTTACAGATGAGGAAACTGAGGCCCAAGAGAAGGAAAACTACCCGGCCAAAGTTACAGAGCCAACTGTTGGTAGAGCTAAAGCAAGAACGAGGGCCCCTGGGCTCCTAGTTCAACATGCTTCCCACTGTGCCACAGGCAGTTATTTATTTTGCATTGATTCCATTCCCTTTGGGAGATCTGGGAATGTTAGTCTATCAACATCTTCTGAAAACTTTCCACAAGGACAAAGAGAACAAGTCCAAATAATGGCAGCCTGTCTCAGCGCAAGATTCAGCCCAGGAATGCAGACGAGCCTCTGGGGCGGTTATAGAGACAACAGCCCAGGCGTTCCTTCTCTTATTTTGTCCTGCCCTAATCGCTGACCTGACGGGTTGCTGCAGTCTCGCTAGGCAGTGAGGGAGCCAGACAGAAACATACCTCACAGCCTTTCCCCTGGCTCTGGATGTTTTTCATCTTGCGCACCAAGGTTAGATAGAAACCCGTGCCGAAGCAATTCTTCAGAAAAAGGGGAGTCCCTGAGCAGTACAGCCTGCCCTGGGAAATGATGGCTATCCGGTCCCCAAGGAGATCAGCCTCATCCATGTGATGAGTGGACATGATGATGGTTCGGCCTGGGAGGGAGGAGCAAGAGAGACCATTCAGATGCTACCTTGCATTGGTAGAGGGAGTTTCCTCACCTGGGAGTTCCCTATATCAGTGAAATTACAGATCTAGGCCCTCTCAGCAAGGCAGGAGGCCAAGGATTTAAATGGTCATGCATATGTTCTAGGCATAGCACCAGTCAACTTAAATGCTTGAAAAAAATGGCAGTCAAGTTGAGAGGAGAAGGCTTCATCCCATAGCACTGATCCAGGGGAAAACTTGGACAATGTCCAACTCTAAGACCAGGCCTAGGGCCTAACTATGAGTGCCCAGTATGAAGGGACCAAAGAATGAGCCACAATTTACTGTTATTAATTGAACCTAATCAACTTATCAACCATACCAGCTGCACATTGGTATGTTTTTAGGTATGTCATGATATGATTAAGTACCTCTCTTCAAGTCTTTGGGAAGCAGGTACATGCACACTAAATAGAGGCACTATTCGAAGAGGAGGCAAGTAGAGTTCTAGGCTGTTAAACCACCAGTGAATAGCACATGGAAAGCTTATGCAGTGGTTAGATGGTTGGGAAATCTCTGTACGTGTCTTCTCATCAGTGGACATTCACTGTTCAATTTAACAGGAGTTTTCACCAAAGCAATGACTTAGAAATTTTGACACTTGGGACAAGTGAAAGAGAGAGGGAGATTTATGGTGTAGCCTCACCTGGGCTCCTATACACCTGGGATATGGTAGCTGGTGTTGCTAGGGAGGCAAAGTGAGTGATGGAGGAAGTACCCCCAAGATCAGTACCCTCTAAATAAACCCGCCCTGTGGCAAAGGGCCAAGTGCTCTGTCTGAGTTACAATTCTGACTCTGACCTTTATTATGTATTCTTTTCATTGGCAGAAGGTGGTATAAGGTAATTCAAAACTAGTGGGAAGGAAACACTTGAAGTTTGAGGAATTCCCATCCTAATCTATGGCTGTCTCTATCTAATCTAATGAATGTCTCTACACTCAGCACATGGCTCCTGGACTGTTTATTAAGGCACCAGCCTAATAATTCTTCTGTGTTTTGTCTTTTGGGTGGTTTGCTTATTTGTTTTGGCTGGGGTCAATGTTCACTTTAACCACTGAGCACATTAGGGACATCAGTGCGTTGCTTCACCCAATGCTTCAGATGGCTCTGACCTACAATGAATTAATCCTACTTCTCTAGGATACTCTGGGGTTATATCAACAGTTTCCAATACATATCTAGATGCTTCAAGGTCCCCAGATTTTTGATAGGAGCTTGGATCCACCTAAGTAACAGGTAAATCCAAATTTCAACAGAATTCCTCGGGTTCTCCGGTCTTAACTACCTATTAGGAGACCCCATTTGTGAACCTGGGTTCCAGTCTGTGTTTCAGTTATTGCCTAGGGCACATAGAGAACAGCAGCCCCAGCCCCCGGCTGAGGTCCGTTACCTGAGCGATACTTCAAGAGCAGATCCCAGATGGAGCGCCTAGAATAGGGATCTACCCCAGAGGTGGGTTCATCCAAAACTATCACCTTGGCATCTCCCACGAAGGCGATGGCAACTGACAGCTTCCTCTGCATGCCCCCTACAGACACAGAGGGCATTCACATCACAATGTTTGCGAAGGAGGGCAGGAAAGAGAAAACAAGGGGATAACCGGGACCTTCATAGTGAGGGAGGCCAACTTAAGGAAAACAAGTCTCTTCCTCCCCTTCTGTCTCTCTCTCTCTCTCTCTCTTTTTTTTGTTTGTTTTGTTTTAGGCAATTGGGGTTAAGTGACTTGCCCAAGGTCACACAGCTACTAAGTGTCAAGTGTTTGGTCTGAGGCCCCATTTGAATTCAGGTCCTCCTGACTTCTGGGCTGGTGATCTATCCACTGTACCACCTACCTGCCCCCCTACTCTTTTCTTCACATTTAGAATTGGCTCCTAGAGCTGGGTTCCAGGAAGGCTCACCTCAATACAGAAGGTCTTCTGGAAGCGAATCATCTGGAGATGCCACCCTCCCATCGGCCAATACACACCATTTCCACCTTCATATTTTAGCCCAAACTTTTATAAATATTAGAACCGATAAAACCTGGCAGAGAAGTAGTTTTTATACAGAAAGGCCTGGGTTCAAGTGTTGCCTCACACATACTGGCCATGTGACTGAGGGTAAGTCACCAACTTCTCAGTGGCCCCAGGCAAATCTCTAAGACTTTAAATTTCAGGTGTTAAACTGCTTTGATATAAGGAACTTGGGAGTTCCTTAAAGCATTAAAATCACAAGTTTGATCCAAAAAACAAATAAATAAAACATGACTTGGCACAAAGTAGGAACTTAATAAATGCTTGTTGAATGAATGAGTGAGTGAGTGAATGAATGAATGAATGGATGAATGAATGAACCCGGCTGCTTGACCTTTTCCATTGTTCATCCCATATGAGAACCGATAGACAGGAAAGCTACTCCCAGAATGTTTCCCAAAGATCAGGACATTTTTAAAGAACTTTCCAATCATTTCTTGGTGGTCCATCAATTTCAAGCCCTAACCCCTTGTGAGGTTCATCAGCCACACCATAACAACTGCATCTCTTTAATACACTCCCCTCCCCTTCCCTCCTCCCATCCCTCCTCCCATCCCTCCTCCCCTCCCCCTCCCCACCCTCCAGCTTAAAATCAAGGCTGCCAAAAACCGAGCCTGGGAACAGCCTCGGAGCAAGCTCAGCACCTGACAGGTTCTGGGCCTCTTCGTTCCTTTTGTGGTGAAGGCCCGTGTCTTCCAACATGGTTTCCATCTCCAGGTACGCCTCCTTCCTAGACTTCCCCTTCAGCTGTGCATAAAGCAGGATGTGTTCGGCCACTGTGAGACTATGGGAACAGAACAGAGAAAGGGCCTCAGAGCCCTGGTGCCCAGGGAGATGCATCTCAAATGCCACCCCTTAGAAGAAGGAAAACATCTTCACCTCAGTTTAATTCTCAATTAGATAAATAATTCAAGTGAATGACCTGGAGTTCAATCAGACTCCTGTAGAAGGAAGGGACTCACCAAGGAGAGCCAGAACCTTAAGGCTAAACCTCTGGGAGTAATAGTTTTCATGGCAACCCCGGAAGAAGGAGAGATGGAAACGTGGGGAAGCCAGTCAGAGGAACCAGAGGTGAGATCCGGAAGATGGGCAGTCTTCACGCATGTTGTACTTACTGGTGGAATAGTATGTTGTGCTGGGGGCACATGCCAAGGTTTTGCCGGATGGAGTCCATGCTGGTCTCAATGTCCTTGCCCCCAATCAGCACTGTGCCAGAAGTTGCAGGGAGCAGCCCGGTCAGGATGGACCTGGAGAAAACAAGGCGCCACGTTCTTTGGACAAGTACACCAACATGTGGACATGCTGGAATGGCAGCACCATTCAGCCCAAGCCAGGGAGAAATCTTCCCTTTGTTCTAGTTTGAACCCAAAGAGTCATTAAAGGAGACGATTAATAGTCACAGACAGAGCTAAGCCGTTGTGCTCACGTAACTCCTAGTTCAGATAATCACACCCATCTCCCTCCTTCGGGTCCTGGGCTTGGAGTCAGGAAGACAAGGGTTCAAATTCTGACTGTGACATTTACTAGCTGTGTGACCTTGGGCAAATCACTTAACCTCTCTGTGCCTCAGTTTCCTCATCTGTAAAAACGAGGGGATTGGACTCAATGGGCTTTAAGGCCCTTTCTATCTCTAAATCTATAATGCTACAAGGATTATTCATCAACATCTATGTAAAGCAACAAATGCAGTCATTGAGATGCAGGGAAAAGAACAATGGGTTCTGGTCCAAGGACCTGAGTTCAGATATTAATCCTGGACATTTACAACCTGGATAACCTTGGGCAAGTCACTTTAACCTCACCTGCAAAATTAGGGGGTTGAACTAAATGTCTTCTTAGGTCCCCTTCTAGCCCTAAATCTATGATCCTAGGACCCTCTTTGTGTTAGGACTCACAGACTAACAAGGCTCATTGGCAAATATATCTTGTGCCCTCAGCCTTTATGGATAGCTTGCTTTTGGGAGATGAGCGAGGAGCTCTAACTGATGAAAAGGGAAATACGACAGGAACAAAGCAGCGATGGAGAAGCTGGAGAACTGAAGAAGTTGTTGCTTTATGGGGGGGTGAGTCCCCCATCTCTGGGAGATGTTCAAGCAGTGGCTTGAATGATTATTTGTTTGCTAGATCTGTGATGGCATCAATTTGGGGAACTCCAACTGTGGAAACTCCCTCCATCATGCAAGTTGGCAGCTCATCTATAATTTATAATCTTAGTGAGGTCCTTGGGGTGCTATGAGATTAAATGGAGTACCTAATATGTGCCAGGGGCAGGACTTTCAAGTCTTCTTGACTCCAGACATCCTCTATTCACAATATCATGATGCCTCTGGATGAATTTTTGGAGAAGTTATTAAAAAAAAGATTTGTGCTTCAGGAAGGGGTTGGTTTAGAATAGCATGGCTTTAATGAAAAGAATATTGAATTTGAAATCTAAGGATCTGGGTTCAAATCCTAGCTCTGGCCCTTCCTCACAGTCCTAGGCCTCAGTTTATTCAATCCAAAAGTGAACAGATTGAATTAGCTTCCAGGTCCGCTCCAGCTCTTGCGCAATGAATGCCAAAGCCTCCCTGTTACCTCTGGGATCAAATCCTCTGCTTGGCGTTTAAAGTACTTCGCCATCCTAGCCCCTTCCAATCTTTCCAGTTAAGCCGTGACTTCTCTGCACTCACTCCATGGATCAGTCCAGGGGTCTACTGCTGTTCCTCCCATCTCACCGGCTGACTTTCATGCCTGGAATGCTTTCCCTCCCACCTCTAACTCTTAGAATCCCAGAACTTCAAGATTCCGAGCTCAAATGCGGACTCAGCAGGAGTGTAGAACTGCCTTCCATCTGCTCAGTATCGATCTCCTATGCACTCATGTATGTACATGTTTTCTACTTCCCTGAGGGCAGGGGATATTTTTGCTTTTTCTTTGTCTCCCCAGTGCTTCACGCCTGACGCATAGTAGGTGCTAATTCTGGATTGCCTGATTCTGTGTTCCCAGACAACCTCTCCCGAGTCCTTTCTAAATCTAAGGTTCCAGGATTCAGCTCTGCCTGCCCAACCCCACTCCTGCAAACAAACAAAGAGTCCACTGAGGACCACTAGAGGGCAAGAGAAGCAAAGACGACGTCTTGGACTTGACATTCCATTCCCTTCCCGGGAACATTCCAACGCTGGGCGTGCACATCTGCTTCTCCTTCCTTATCTTCTGCCAGAAACCAAAAGCCCCAAAGGCTACACTACTCTTGGGTTCACTGGGCCAGCAGAGATATCTGCTGCTCCCTGGAGATGTCTCGTAGGAGCCTGATATCTGATCTCCCATTTTGAGAACCCTCAGGAAAGTCCAGGGAGACGCCTAGAAGCTTTTTCTGGCCTTCCCCATCTCCCCTCCCACCACCCTCCAGGAATGGTTCTGCTTTATAAATTTTTCCACTGCTAACCTCACATCTGACAGTTTGCTATAAGAACATGCCTAAACCAAGGCAGAAGTGCACCAAAAAGTAATTAAAAAAAAACACATTATACAAAGGCGAGACCAAATAATGATTTATCTATCATCTGACCATAATAATAACCTACATTTATATAATGACTTAATGTTGGCAAAGCACTTTACACGTAGTTATTCAAGTGTGAAATTGCTATTATTCTTGACAATGAAAAACAGTATGATATGGTGAATGAAGTGTTGGACTCAGAGCCCAGAAGGCCTGAGTTCAAGTTCTACTTACTAGATATATAAACCAATAGGTAGGTGCTATAGCTATTATTGTTTCTACTTTACAGGTGAGAAAACTGAGGCTAAAAGAGGATACATTGATTATCCAGGTTTATACATCTAGTAAGTAGGACTTGAACCCAGGCTCTGAGTCCCACATTTTATTTACCATACCACACTGCTTTTCATTATCAAAAATAACAGCAATTTCACACTTGCAAATATATAGTAATAAAGCACTCTATAGACATCAGCCTATTTGATTCTCATAAGCCTCCTTTAAGGTTGGTAGTAGTGACAATGGCTTCCACTCAGATAACACTGTACCATGCTCTTTCCTCATGACAATGATGTGAGTTAGTTGTATTATCACCCCCATTTTACAGATGAGGCAACTGAGACTTTGAGAAGTTACCTGATTGTTCCAAGGTCACATTGCTAAGAAAAAGTAGCAGAGCTGGAATCTGAACACCAGTCTTTAGACTTTACTGTTGGAGCTCCCTCCAATACCAACATCCTGCCTTTCCTCACCCAGGTCAGGATTTTCAATGACTTCCAGTGAGGAAACTTCTCCCTTTCTGCAGCTTGGAGTCTTAGAGGGCTTTCTGGCTAAGTGACTCACCCAAGTGGCAGAGGCAACATTTGAACCCAAGTCTTCCTAACTAACGCCAAGGTCTAGGTCAGCTCTCTCTCGGCAATGCCACACTGCCTTTTACAAGCTCTGACTATGTTACAGCTTTGGAAGTTGCATGTGTAAAAGATATCTCATAAGATCTCAGATGGGATAACTTTCCTTCTTGCTGCTACAACCCAGAAGGGAGCCAACACTATTGAGGAGGAAGAATGCAGTTCGCCCTCATTCATGACCATGAAACAAAGGGAGAGAATAATTTCTTAGGTAGGAGGCACTGAGCTAAGCCTTGAAGATTCAAAGAAAGGTAAAGGGATTTACATAGCACCACTACCCCACCCCACCTCAGCTCACATTCCAGTGGGGGAGATGAGATACAAGAGATAGAGAGAGTCCATTGGAAGACTCCCAAGAGGGGAAGGGATAGGCAGCCAGAGGGGACCAGAAAAGACATCCTGCAGAAGGGAGGATCTGATCTGAGACTTACAGGATACTAGGGAAACTAGGTAGTGGAGGCGAGGAGGTGGAGCATTGTAGGTATGAGGGACAGCTAAAGCCAAGAGAGAGTAGGGAAATGCCAGGAGGCCAGTGTTGTTGAAACATAGAGGACAAGGGGAAGAATAAGGAAGGGCTAAGACTAGAACGAGAGGAAGGGGTCCTATTATGTGACAAAGAGTGTGAAGATCAAATGGGGTAATGATGGGGCAGCCGGGTGGCTCAGTGATAGTGTGCCAGACTTGGAGTCAGGAAGACATCTTCATAAGTTCAAATCTGACCTCGGATACTTCCTAGTCATGTGACCCCGGGCAAGTCACATAACCCTGTTTGCCTCAGTTTCCCCATTTGTAAAATAAGCCAGAGAAAGAAATGGCAAACCACTCCAATGTCTTTGCCAAGAAAACCCTAAATGGGGCCACGAAAAATCAGACACGACTGAACAACCAAAATGATTGTAAAGCGCTTAGCACAGAGTCTGTGGCACATAGTAAGCACTGTATAAATGTATGTAGGATTATGTCAAAGGAGGCAGCGTCATACACTAGAAAGAAAACTGGATCTGGAGCGAAGGACCTGGGTTCAAATCCCACCTCTGATATAACTCCTGCATCATCTTGGGCAAGTTGCTTCATCTCCCTGGGCCTCAGTTCCCTTATTTGTAAAAGGAGAAGTTGGATCATACAGAGGTCACTTCTAGCTCTAAAGCTGCAATCCCATTAATTAAGCACTTAATGTGTACAAGACACTGTTAGGGGTACAAAATGAAAGTCCCTGCCCTCAAAGAGCTTACAGTCTATTAGGGAGACAGCATGCTTTCTAGATAACATAAGGTACTCTGAGGAAGTAAAACCAAGAGGGGTGTCATGGTGTGGGGGTAAGAGAGAGCTGGTCTCTATATCGGCAGGAGCTGTGGGCAAGGCTTGCCTCAGATGCATAATGGCTATCTATTCCTGGGCAAGTCTATTAACTTCTCAGTGCCTTGGAAGATTCTCTCTAAGATTAGAAGTGGAAGAGCAGGTGCCAACTTGCATTGGTAGAAGGGGGTTTCCTCACTGGGAGTTCTCTATGCTAATAGAACCTCAGGTTCATTTCCTTCCCCTCTCCCCCCAAAATAAAAGATAATCAGAGGGGAAGGGAACAAACACTTATTATTAAGCACCTACTGTGTGCCAGGCACTGTGCTAAGCTCTTTATTATCTCATTTGATTCTCACAACAACCCTGGGAGGTATCCCATTTTACAGTTGAGGAAACTGAGGCAGATAGAGGTTAAGTGACTTGTACATGGTTAGTGAGTGTCTGAGGCTGGATTTGAATTCAGATCTTGCAGATTCCAGGCTCGGTGCTATCCACTGCACCAAGTAACTCTCCCTAACTGACCACTGAAGAGATCTCATAGCACTTAAGATAAGCTCTGAAGGAAGTCTTGGATCCTAAGATGCATCACTGGGAAAGGAGTGCATTCCCCCACTCCCATCCCAAGAAGAAGCCTGAGGCTCTTATAAATGATTCCCCAAGTACTCACATAGTGGTGGTTTTCCCAGCACCATTGTGCCCAAGGAAGGCAGTGATCTGGTTCTCATAGAAAGTGATGTTCAGGCGGTCCACCGCTGGCTTGCTGTGGTAGTCAAAGACCTTCACCAGATTCCGCACACACACTCCAGGGACTAGACCAGGGAGCTCTCTCTCAAAGAAGGTATCTTAGAGAAAAAGAGGTTGACAGATGAGTGGAGGGATGTTAGGTTTTGTCTGTCCCCTAGCACTGTGTCTGTAGTTTATATCCCTTGATGACCAAGTTACATTGACCCTGCTTTCTAGCTGAGTAAGAGCTGTCTCCTGACCTAGGCTCACTGCTCTCCCTACCAGACCAAGGCTCCAGAGGCAGCAGCAGGCCAGAACTAGCTTTTACTGGCTCTAGAGAGCTGACAGGAAAATTTTCAGTGTGGCCCTTTATACTTCAGAAATTGGCAAATACTCAGGGCTTAACTTACATTTTGTTGACTGTGTAGAGTTAAGAACATGATGGAGAAAATGTTAATGCAGGTCAAACTTAAAAGTCATGTCATGAGTACATCTTTTCTCTGGAGAGCTGTTAAACGTTTTCCTGTAAAATGGACTAGATAACCTCTCAGATGCCTTCTAGCTCTAAATCTAGGCTCTCACCTAGAGTCGTCTGAGGCATTCAGAGTTTAATTGGTTTTCCCATATTCACACAACTAGCATGTGTCCAAGGCAGGATTTAAACCCAGGTTTTTCTGATTCCAAGGCTGGCTTTGTCGCCCACTCCAAAGAAAGTCAAAATGTCATCCTGGCATGAAAGATGAGAATTTGGCTTTGGGAAATGACAACTTTGAACCTGGGCCAACCAGTTAGGAATCATTAGGTAACTTAGACCAGAGCGATGGCGCTCTCAGATTTTCTGGACCACAATTGAGGTAGGGGAAGGCTCTCTGGAGCTGGCTTCCCCCCTGCACATAAAGTCAGAGCATTGGCTATATTTTCTGCCTTTCCTCATAGCTCATATCCGTCTCAGGGCCCAGTGACCCAAACTAATTGTTCTTGCTAAATCCTCGGAAGTGAAGTCAGTGTATTTGTATAATTCACTTGGGATTCACTTAACAAGGGCATAAACACACTACCTACTTTTGGATAGGCTTTCTCCAGGAAATATATGCTCATGTCTGGGCATCCCCTGTCCTTCTCCCCCTGCCCCATGCTTTTTTGCACATGTGTAACTAATCCTTTCCAAAGGGTTCAGCTTTAGTTTTGTCAATGAAAACCATCCATTTCTCTGGGATTCCTTTCACGCAAGTAGACTTGTCACTCTGGTGACTTCTCAGAGATTTCCCCTTTCCTTTGCTTGGGTTTTCCTGTTGGTCTACTTAGGGCAAAGATTTTTTTAAAATTATTTTTTCTACTCTTTTTATTATCTTTTTTAGCTTTTCTGTTTATTTTTTATTTCTTTTTTATTATATATTTATTTGTAATTTTTTTTTATTTAGGGCAAAGATTCTTAATCTTGGGTCTGTGAACTTTAAATACACACACACAAAACTGTATTTCAATATAATTTGTTTCCTTTCTAATTCTATATATTTTACTTTAGGGAGTGAAAAATATGATTGTGGGAAGGGGCTCATAGGTTTCATCAGTCTGCCAAAGGGCCCAGGACACATAAGTTGAAGAACTCCTGGTCTAGGATTTATACCATATATCCCCTCTGGGTGATCTGGGTCTTCCATTTCTTCTGTTACGGGTTCATTCTTTTCCAAGGCCCTTTCTTCTCTTGTTGAACATCCTATGGGGACCAAAAGTCAGAGTTAACTCTCTCCATAAGATGTGGGAAGGGTTGGAGGGTGGGAGAGGAGATAAGAGCTGAGGAGTTTTCCCTGTGAGAAGCAGCCCAGGAAGGCAGACACAAACAGCCAAGTCAGCACCTTAGCATCAGGTCCCCTCCGGGTACCCACCCCCACTCCCACCCCCACCCCCACCGCCCCTGCCCAACTCAGCAGCCGTCTGTGACGTACTGAAACCAGAGAGAGTTTTCACTCAAGCTTTCCGGGTGCCCCCTTGCGCAATCCCTGCCCAGGAGTCACTGGCGTTCCAGAGGGCTTTGTAATACAAGCTTCATTGAAAGTCAGACAGTTTCAGTATGTTGGGATGTGCCAGGAAGTGAAAGAGCCTGTCAGGAGGCGGCTTTTAACTTTGATTTGATGACAAGGTTTATTTGGTCTTCAGATATCCACTGCTCCTCTCCCCAGTCCAGGGCCCCATGAAGGCAGTGAGGGAAGGGGGACAGATGGAGGTGAGGAGTGTATGGGTGAGTCCTGTCACACGGGGGACTCCTTTGCTATTTTTAAAGATCGGCTTTGTCATTCATTGCCTTTTGTTTTTATATCATAGTCATTCCTTTTGGAGAAAAAAACCCCTCCCCTCCTGCCCTCCCCCATCACACAGATAGTACATACAAAATCATGCAGTACAATTACCTCACCTGAATCTGTAAATAACATTCTGCCCTAGTAGTCCCTGCTTCTCCACCTGGAAGGGGGGAGGTATGTTTCATTATTTACTCTCTGGGTCCTATGCATTTTTACATACCAGACAATCACCTTGAGGAATTGGGAGGGTGGGGGTGGATAGGAGGTAGAAAGTGAGGGTAGATAGGTAGGGTAAGCCTTTGGAGTATCTTTGTGACCTTGGGCAAGTCCTTTCCCTTCTGAGGGAACTGAAGCCTTACCTCCCTCATCTATTAAAAGGAGGGGGTGGGTGGGATTAGATGATTTCTAAAGCTCCCTCTGGTTCTATATCTCTGATCCCAGTTGTCCCTGAGCAGCCCCCCGTGTTGTGATCCCACCACCATGCAGTGGGGGGGGATACTTGGGGGAGGGATATTTAGGCAAATCCTTCTGTGTGCGCTTCTCTGCTATTACCTTTTGAAGAAGGATGGGGTTCTTACGAAAAGAATTTTCATGACGAGGTGAGGTTGTGATGTGATATGATGTAAAGGACAGACAACCTGTTTACAAGGATGCTCCAGGGACTGGCTTTCTGCCTAAAACAAACAAGGGCTTCTCCATCGATTCCAAAGGCTGCCCGTTTGAATAAAGGATTCCCATCTCTGAAGGAACCCTACCTTTTCACTCTCTTTCTTTTTAAAATTCATTCATTCTACCCCATCAGAATGTAAGCTCCTTGAGCTCAGGAACTCGTTTTTGCCTTCATTTATATCCCCTGTGCTTGGAACATTGTGAACTCTTAATAAATGTTTACTGACTATCTAAAAAAAAAAAAATAGGAGAAGCTGCACAGAAAACCACCAAGCTGTCGGAATGCTCTGTGTTTAAAGTAATTTTTATTTTTTAAATCACCTAAGCCCACAAAACCTAGGTAAAACCTGAGACAGAACAAATCAATACATGGATGTTTAAAGGGTCTTCCTAGGGAGGGTTAACCCAGGCACAAGCCTACCACTATGGAGCCAATTCCAAAAAGTCCCTTTTTTGGGCAGGGAGGGGAGGGGAAAGGCCGGCTTCTCACATTTCAGGTTGGGAAGCATTTCCTTGGCCCACAGAGCCTGCTTAAGGCCTTGTCCCTGAAGTTTCTTTCTCTGCCTCTGTCTCCAGATACCAAAAGAAAAAGGGTGATGTCCCTCCTTAATTCCAGAACTCTACCTTGGCCAGGTGTCCTTGATCAGTGGCAAAGGTGAACGGCTATCTAAAGCTTCATGGCAGAACAAATGCCTTTATCTCTCCTCCTTAGGGTCTTCTGTGTATTTGTGTCAACATGAAAGGGACCTCAGAATATTTGTTCTGAAGATTAACCCCCCAGAAACTCTGGAAGTCTCTTCATCTTGGGAGAACAGCCTGTTCCTTTTAAGGGTTTGAGAGGATGAAGACCAGGTGAACAGGCAGGAGGAGGAGGAGGAGGTTTTAAAGAGAGGCTCAGTTCTCCATTTATTCATTCATTCAACAAGCATTTATGAATCTACCTCTGTGTACCAGGCGCTTGGCTCAGCTCTGGTGATATATAAGGACAAAGATGTAAAAAGAAGCCTACATTCTACTGGACAAAACCCACAAAGGATCATAAACGTAGAGCTAAAGGCCATCCGTTCCAACCCCCTGATTTTACAAATGAAGCAACTGAGAGGTTCAAGTGACTCGCCCAAGGTCTGGCAAGCACATGGCGCCATCGGGATTCTAACTCAGGTTTTCTGACACTAGGTACAGGACTCTACTGCCTAACCCTGTACAGAAATACGTGCACAGTAAGCACAAAATGACGTCGGGGTGTGAAGGAAAATACTAGCAACGTGTGAGATCGGTATAGAGCTCTTGGAGGAGGTATTCTTTGAGCTAAGATTTAATGGAAGTCTAAGGCAGGGAGAGTCCACTGGAACAGAGCTTAGAAGACTGTTAGAATCAGAGATTCCCAGCTTGGGCTCCACAGATCACTTGTGGATAGACCTCAGGGGTCCACAAACTTGGATGGGGGAAAATGATTTCAATCTAATTGGTTTCTTTGGTAATCCTCTGCATTCTATTTTATGCATTCTTGAAGCTGCCAAAAGGGTCCATAACACAAAGAAGTTCAAGGATCCCTGAAACTGAATGAATGAATGAAAAAGCACGTGTTAAGCAGTTACAAAGCACAAAGCAAGAAGTGGTAAAGAGGATGCAGCTCTGGGCCTAGAGTCAGGAAGACCTGAGTTCGAATCCAACCTGAGACACTTACTTGCTATGTAACCTTGGGCAAGTCACTTGACCTCTGTTGGCCTCAGTTTCCTCTAGTGTAAAATGGGGATTATAATAGTACCTACCTCACAGGGTTGTTGTGAAAATCAAAAGAGATACTATTTGTAAAGTGCTTAATACAGTGCCTAACATAGGAGAAACTTAATAAATGTTCATTTGCTTTCTTCTCCCCTTCTCTTTGTTAATGCTGGGCATACAAACAGAAAAGCAAGACATTTGGTTTGGGGGTGGGGAAGAAACACTGTAGAGGAGATTTATGGATGGGGCAGTGAGTTGCACTAATTGATTTTCAAGGTCCCATTTGACTCAGGGACCAAGTGATTGCTTCTATGATTCCCAGGGATCTCCTTGCCCCCACCCCAAAGACTTCCAACAGTCATTAACACCCAGTGCCGAAAGGGCTGCCGTTTCAGGCTTCTCCTGAGAGAGTTACTCAATCTCCCTCACTCATGTTGTCAAGAATTAAAGGGCTTATCAGACATCTCTCACACACACTGGGGACACATGTGGGGGATGTTCTCAGATGCCCAAATGCCTCTGCAATGCAGCAGAGGGCCCTCAGGTGGCATGCTGACTCACCCACTAATAACACCCTCCTAATGATGGGCTACCCAGGTTCAAAGCCAGCAACTGGCATTCCCACTGGAATCTCTCCAGCTGCTCCAGAAAGGGACCTGAGCCAGTCAGCCATATCTCAACAGGACAGCACAGCATAGCACAGCTAGTTCCAAGGTTTTCAAGACTCACCTTCACCTCCAAGCCAATAGGACTCTTGCAAAAGGAAAAACCAAGGAAGTGGTATTCCGTAGTCCCCTGGAAAACACACACAAACACACATAAACAAGGAGGTGTAGACTAAATGTTCTAACTGGGACCCCACCCAACTACATTCTTGGAGTGCCTGGGACTTATCTGTGTGAATCTCAGACTGTAATTATAGATATTTATAGTTTTGCTAGCCATAACACACCAGAACTACAACCTCCCACAAGGACTGACCGTTTTGCATACTTTCATCAAAAAAGCCTTGGTTTTCTTGTATTTTCTCATATTCTTATATCATTGGTTTTCTTATATACTTTCAGGAAAGTTGGAGTGCTGAAGCAGACAGAAAAGAGAGGAGCCCACACTAATATGAGTAATTTGGTGCAGTGGGAAGGGTCTTGAGTTAAATCACAGCCCTACCACTTGCTTCCTGTGTGACCTTGGGCAAGTCACAACCTCTTGAGACCTTGGTTTTCTCATCCGTAAAATGAGGGGGCTCGAGTAGATCGTCTGCAAGGTGCTTTCCAGCCCCAGACCTACGATCACATGGCGCTCATGGGAATGCACGACTAAAAGCTGGACATCTGTGGTCAACCAATCATTCCGCTGCCCTAATGGAACTACTTACTGGAGGATAGGAGAGAAGCAAGACTGTGAGGAGCTGTCTTGACTGCCCAGCTCCTTGTCTGTTCATCAAAGCTATAATGGGCAATTTTAGTGCCTAGGACAAGAGCTACAGAACACATTCAGGGCGAGACTTACAAAAGGTGCCCTCAACAAACCTCTTTCATACCAATTAGGTTGGGGATTAGGAAAAGACTTGGGAAAAATGTCCCATGGAAGGGGGCAGAACCCCCAGGACACTGACATTGCCCCCCATTATGTACAGAGACCCTCGGATATACTTTTTGGGAGATGGGAGGAAGCAGAGCAAGGAGGGTCACCAGGGGTGCAGTTGTCCTGGAGAGGAAGTGGGCTATGTGGTAGCTTCCCATATTAACTGATTATTATTATTATTATTATTATTATTATTATTATTATTTTGCTCTTTGGTGAGGCAGTCGGGGTTAAGGGACTTGCCCAGGGTCACACAGCTAGTAAGGGTCAAGTGTCTGAGGTCAGATTTGAACTCAGGTCCTCCTTGCTCCAAGGCCGGAGCTCTATCCACTGTGCCACCCAGCTGCTCCCTTATTATTCTTATTAATGAAGTTCTAAGGTCAGTTGCGTCTCCCTGCTGAAGGAGTATGAGTGCTGTAATCACTCTGCAGCAGGACTGACTACTGCTCCCTGGTTATGGCTCAGTTGTTCTTTTGTACTAAGCAAGATTTCCCTAAAATGGTCAAACAGCCGTGAGTTTTGCATTCACACAAACCAGCACCCTGTCTAGAGTCAATTCTAGACTCACTTTCTCCTGCTGGCAGCCTGTATCCTTTAAGACCCATGAACTAGGCAAGATATCAATGGGGAAAATACCCACCCATTGTTTAAGCACAGAAGCTGGTTTTTAGTTGACTTAAAGGCCACTTAAATCAAGGTAAGCCTTTTCCAGTTGTAAGGACATGCTACTTTTTTAGAGTTAGATGATACTATAATTAAAAATGCTTTCATTGCACTGGACAGCACTGATGAAGGAGCTGTGTTACAGACAGGAGGAATCAATCAATCAATCAATAAACATTTATTAAGTATCTTCTATATGCCAGGCACTGTGCTGGTATATGCAGGGGTTTAAGAAATGCCGGGCTTTGGGAATCTTGGGCCTTCTTGGAAATTTATGCGGCTTCATTAGCCATCATTAAGGCATCCAGTAACTTTGCCTCCATTGAATTAGTTCCCATCAACAACCCAGAAGGTCACCTCCAAATTCCCACCCTAACCTATTTTGTGAAGGGAAGTAAATCCTTTAGTCTATCTGGAACTCAGTCTTCTTATCAGTATAATTAGGGGGATGGATTAGGTAACCATGGAAGCTCCTTGTTTCCCTAAGAGTCTATGTGATGCCTGGAGTTTGATCCTGTTAACATGGGAAGAGCTTTCTCCCATGGCCAGTGCGCAGAATGGCTGTCCCATGTGATCTAATTACCCTTGGATTTCCTGCTCCAGATAGTGTCATTTGATGAGCACCTACCCTGAAATGTGAGGAACAGTGAACTGGTGGGGGAGGTAGAGGGAGAGCGGTGGAAATGGAGGGAAATGGAGGCACCCAGGCTATGTCTGTCCTGAGGGAAGTAAGAGCTTCATGAAACAAGGATAGAAACAAAATGGCCTCTAGTCCTCTTTGTCCGCCATTTCTGCTTGTGCAGCGATGGTGGCGGAGCTGAAAGAGAAGAGGAGAGGATACTAAGAATCCCACGGTTATTAGACCATCTACGGACATAAATTTAGCTACTGGTCCTCTAAATGTAGGATTCTTGTCCAATGACCTGTAATAAGTAGACATATTGCTGAAAGAAATAATCATTTTGGCATCACCTCTACAAATGAAACCAGAAAACAGAAGGAAAGTACTACTAAAAGGGGGTAGTGAGGTGTTACAGTAGATAGATTGTTGGACCTGGAGTCAGGAAGACTCATCTTCCTGAGTTCAAATTCAGCCTTAGACACTTATTAGCTGTGTGACCCTGGGCAAGTCATTTAACTGTTTGCCTCAGTTTCCTCATCTGTAAAATAAGCTAGAGAAGGAAATGGCAAACCACTCCAGCATCTTTGCCAAGAAAACCCCAAATGGGGTCACAAAGAGTCAGACATGATTGGAAATGACTAAACAACACCACCACAACAACTAAAGGGAAGTGTGGCTAGGAGGTTCTCCCTTAAAGAGTCAAAAATGGGAGCTGGTGAAGCTTGTTATGTCATGTGTCCAAAGGCAACAAGAGACGTCATTTTATCTAGGTAGAGCTTTACTCACCTGGAAGTACTTGGTCAAGGTACCAGGCCAGGAAGCCATAAAGGACTGCATCCATCAGCATCATTTTGACGGAGAGCAAGAAACTGAATTCATCCCCTTCCATGGGGCTCTTGCCAATGTTGCCCCACTGGAGTCCGAGGCCTTGCTCTTCATAGTGAGACAAATACTCAGTGCCAAACCCAAATGCCACAGGAGACAGCAGGCTCTGGGCAAAAAAGTCACAGATATTAGGGCCGGCCTCCCGGGACCCGCAGGACAGTCCTTCACATAACACAAAAGTACAGAAAGCAGAAAGAGTGGCCTGTGTATTCCCCTCCAGTGCCACTCAGTCAATGAGCATTTATTAGGTGTTTACTGTGTGCTGGGTACTGTGTTAACACTGGACGGCTGAAGAAAGATGAGGGAATCGAGAGGTGTGACAGAGACCCTCAGGCCTCTGGGAATTCTGCCCAGTCCCTGCCTGGACCACCTCTTCACCTCTTGAAGCCAGAATAGAAGCCAGAAGTCCTAGGTTGAAGGCGGCTAGTTGTAGCAGTGAATAGAATTCTGAGCCTATAGTCAGGAAGACCCGAGTTTAAATCCGGTCTCAGACACTTGGTGGCTAGGTGATTCTGGGCAAATCACTTCATCTCTGTGTCTCAGATTCTCATCTGTAAAATGGGCATATGGCACCTGCCTCCCAGGGTTGTTATGAGGACAAAATGAGGTATTTGTAAAGCATTTTGCAAACCTTAAAATGCTGCCTATTTTTATTATTAATATTAGTATTATTTTGTCCTGCCTCAGATACGTACCAGATTGTGATTTTGACGACGGCATTTAATTCCTCTGGGCCTCAGTTTCCTCAGCCGCAGACTTACTGTGAATAAGGATAGCTTCATTCTCTGTACTTGTATCCCTAGTGACTAGCACTGTTCCTGGCACATAGTAGGCGCTTCAATATTTGTTGACTGATGGTTTGAAGGGATTGAAGGTCCTTCTGGCTCTAAATTTCAGGTCCTATGAATCACTGAATATGAGGACACTGAAAACTGGAAGCAGCCGAGCAGAGTACCTAGAGAGCCAGGCTTGGAGTCAAGAAAGACCTGCGTTTGAGTCCCCTTTCTGATTCATACCGACTGGGCAACCCTGATCAAGTCACTTTTCCTTCCTGACTAGGCAACTCTCTAGGACTAATGTTTGCAGACAAGGTGCCAGCCTGTACTGGGAGAAGGAGTTTCCGTGTCGGCAGTTTCTCATGAAATCCCAGGTCCGGGATTCCTCCCAGCTTTCACGGCTCCTCTCCCCACAACACAACAACAGCAACGACAACACACCAAAGTAAAACAGGGCCCTTGGACCCGTCAGCCGCCTCCCCCACAGGCTGCAGATCATGGAATACCAAAGAAGATTCGGTCTAGTTCCCAACTAGATGAGTCGGGAACTCTACAAAGGAAGGCTGTGCGCCCAACACTGCAGTGTCCTCCAGTGAGGCTCACTGGCACAGGGTGTAATCGTGAGGGCAGTCTATGTTATGGACCACAGGCTGGTATGATGGCACATCCTGGCATGCCCAGACCATGCTCTATGATATGCCTATGAGAACTAGCATTTAAATAGTGCTTCAAGGTTTGCAAAGTGTTTCAAAAATATTTGATCTCATGGACAATCCTATAAGGTAGGAAGCTATTATTATTATCCCCATTTTACAGATGAGGAAACTGAGTCAGAGAGAGATTAAGTGACTTCCCCAGAGTCTCATGAGCAGTAAGTGTCTGAGGCAGGGACCGAACTGAGATCTTTCTGACTCCAGGTCCAGCACTCTAAACCACTTCCCGTTCTGGAATAAAAGAAACCGAGCAGAGAGGGAAGGGAGATGAGAACATAGCTTTACTCAGGGGACGGTAGAGAAGTCTTCTGTTTTTAAAATGGTGCCAAGTTTAAATCGCTTTTTACTCTCCAGGACAAGAATTGCATTCCCGCTTGTTTACAGAACTGAAAGAGCGGAATGTTGCTCCCTCATGACCAGAATTTACACAGCAGCTCAAATCGGATTCGTCAGAATTGCTGCAGCAGTGGCAGCCTTGGCTACAAATTTGAAACTTCCAGTTTTTGGAAAAAGGCAGTTCCAAGAAAGCCTCCCAGTAAGTGTTTGCTCACCTTTTGCCACCCCCAGACTAAAGCCCAGTGCCTTTGTTTTCTCAGGCTGTTTGCATGGAAGACAAGCCAGGTGGGTGAATTCCCCATGGTATCAACACGGGAAATTTGGAAGGGGAGTGCGATCCCTTTAATTAGGGCTCCACCAAGCCCCTGGCCTGTATCACCACTCATCCAGGCCTGGTGTACGTGTTTCCACTCACTCAAAGGCCTTGAATGTTTTGAGGAACTTAGTGGGACTTAGAGCCTCTTGCTTCAGGAGGAAGGTGGTCTCCAGACATATTTCTGTGATGCCCAGATCTTTCTCCTGCCCCGAGCTAGGGTATGCACGGCCTCTGCATTGCTGGCAGACTTGGAAGTCAGGAGAATCCTCATAACAATCCTCCTGTCTGCCCAGTTATTACAGGAGCTGACAATGCCCACACTTTGAGTGGAAAAGAATTGTTGTTGCCTGACCATTATGGGCAGTTTGGAAAAGGCCGTGTCATCAAGATCAACAATTAACTATGCATTTAATGCCAGAAATAAGCGGCAAACAGCAATGGGGAACAGGGAGGAGTAAGAGCTATGGTATTAGGTCTTTTCCCAAACTAGAGACAGATGGCATTCCTCCCCCATCAGAACCCGAATGATAACAGAAAGATTCAGAGAAAAAAGGAAGGGTAAGAGAACTACCCTCCAAGAGGATGTGAGGCAGTTTATTCTAGTTTAATGAGCCATTGGAGAAGGGGACATTTGGAAATAATTATAATGAAGGCAGAGCTGATTGCTGAGGCTTCCTGGATTGATGGGCCTCTTAGATAGGCAAAAGACAATCCTTGATCTCCGTACCTGTTCTTCCTACCTTCCTGGATTTGCCAGGTCATCTCGTCATCCATTTTATCCATGCATTTTTAGGGCCTCAGCTTAAGGACATTTGGAGGGAGATTCAAAAAATTTAGGTCCATTGGGAAAATCTAAAAAGTTGATGCTGGAAGCTTAATCACCAATACAGGTACTGTAGAAACATAGATTTGGAAATAAAAGGGACATTGCAGAGTATCTGGTCCAACTCTTTCATTTTACATATGAGGAAAATGAGGCACAGAGGCAATTAGCAACTCCTCCAAGGTCATAAGTGGTAAATGGCAGGGCCAGTCTTTTTTTTTTTTTTTGCTTTTTGGCAAGGCAATTAGGGTTAAGTGACTTGCCCAGGGTCACACAGCTAGTAAGTATCAAGCGTCTGAGGCTGGATTTGAACTCAGGTCCTCTTGACTCCAAGGCTGGAATGCTATCCACTGCACCACCTAGCTGCCCCAAGGCCAGGTTTTGAAACTAGTTTATCAGACTTCAAATCCCAAATTTGTTCCAATATACCACACGTGTCACTGCTGAGTCAGGGAAAGGAAGCAATAAAGAAAAAGGGCCATTCTGGATCTCCAAATGAGCTCCATGGGCCACAAAGTTGATCTCAGTTTTGCAAATGGTTTCTAGTTCAGCTTGATCTATCAGGTCAGGACAAGGGCAAATGTGAGGAGCCTCAAAACAAGAAACTTATTTCTACCCCCTCCTTTCGTGACTTTTAGCCTTATGTTTCCTGAAACCAAGTGGCCAGACTAGGATAGCGCTATTGGTGATTTGTCACAGGGCGCCAGTTTTAGAGAACACTGACAGTAGTGCTTCAGTTGTTCAACACAACAGTGTTCAACAGTTCAAGACAAAAGTGATTCGGCAGCACAGAAACGGCCAAACTTAGCATCTAATCAGTAAGAATAATCAGTGAGAACAAGAGGTTACCAGAAAGCAGGTTGGGGTGAGCCTTTTCTCCATCACTCTCTTTTCCATCTTCCCTCCCCAGAGCATTCCTGGTTTCCCATACCTCTCCCACCTCTCTCAACTGTGGGTGTATTTCGTTCTGTTTGGCTTTGATTCAGTTTGTCATGCTAGCCTTAAGTGGAAACAATTTAATTAGGCAAGCTGCTCTTATGTGATACTTCCCGGCTAACAGGTTCCAACCAGCCCTTCTCAGAGAGCAGGCATTAAGCTAATGTCAGGACATCCCCATCCCGTCGGGGAAAGAGGAAGATACTTACCGCCATCATCTTCATCTGAGTCGTCATACGTTCCTGCCACGCAAAGCACAGGACGTGAGGCAGGTAGAGGGTGAAGTAGAGGACGCCACTGCAGGCTGCCGCCAGGTTGGCCTTGGAGAAGAAGGCGGTGAAGAGGAAGCACTGCATGATGGTGGCAACGGAGAATACCAAGAGGAACAGGAAGAGGATGACGGGATTGCTGTAGTGCAGGACTTGGCCATGCTACGACCAAAGACGTCACAAAGATGGGTGAGTCTCACGCACCTGCATCAGGAACCCAATTCCACCGAGCTTCGCCGGATGCCTCAAAAGCTCCCTCCCACCAACCTCTTGTCCGCGCTTGAGAATCTATCCTTAGAGACTAGAAGGTATTGTGCCTTGTTAGAAGAAGATCCCTTCAGGTATAGCAGTGTATGCTGGCAGTACCTGCTACTGGGGAGGTTAAGGCTCAAAGATCTCTTGAGTTCAGGAGCTCTGAGCTAAAGCTAGGCTAAAGTCAACTGGGTGTCTACAAAGTCTGAGCCCCTAGAAACTGAGGGCCATCATGCTACCTATGGAGCAGTAAACCAGATCAGGTTGGAAGTGCAGCAAATGAAAGCTTCCCTGCCAATCAGCAGAGGGGTAGGGTCAATGAGGGCCAACTGGCCTTGGTTGAGATAGGGAGACCCAGTCTCAAAAACATAATTAAGAGTAAATAAATAAAATCCATACCAGATCTAAGTTTATGATCCTAGGAAATATATAGCCCAAGAAACATATCACCCACATTATTAGCCATCAATTCAACCATTCAACAAACATCAACTACCTACGACATGCTAGTCAGCTATGAGGCAGCTGAGTAGTGCAGAGGATAGAGCTCTAGGCTTGAAGTCAAGAAGACCTGAGTTCACATCCTACCTCAGGCACTTACTTACTGTGTGACCTTGAGCAAATCACCTAACCACTGTTTGCCTCAGTTTCCTCAACTGTAAAATGGGGATAATAATAGCATCTACCTCCCAGGATTGGTATGAGGATCAAATAAGATAATATTTGTAAAGTGCCTGGTATATAGTAGGTGTTACATAAATGCTAATTGTTATTATGTCACTGCACTGGATCCTACAGATAGAAAAAAAAAGAATTGTCCTTGCCTTCAAGGAACTTGTCGTCCATATTCTACATTGACATTTTAGTGTGAACTAGGTCATTTTGACCCAGGAGGCAGCTTGGTATAATGAGAACTAGTTCAAGAGTCTGAGGTTCACAGCCTGCTTCTGATAAGCTTCTGTGTGATCTTGACTAGTCTACTCAAAGCCACTAGGCCTCAGTTTCTTCATCTGTAAAATGAGGAGGTTGGATTTGCTTGCTGATTCTATTAAATAATAATAAGATATTATTATAGCTATATTATAATATGTAACATCATAATATTCTGTAACATATTAATACAATATATTATAAAATAATAATAATTTACATTTCCATAATATTTGAATGTATACAAATCAGTTTCCTCATAATGACCCTGTAAGGAAAGTAGAATAAATATCGTTCCCCCATTTTACAAGTCAGGGAACTGAGGAGCAGAGAGGTTAAGTCCTTCACCCAAGATCACACAGTTGGTAAGCATCAGAGCTGGACTGGAAGCCAAGTCTCTTGGCTCTAAGCCTAACCCTCTACCCCCTAATTCACATGGATTTACTAATATTTTATAATGTAACATCCTACATTATACTATGTAACCTCAATGGGTAAATCAAGTCACTCAGAATTTGGCCAGATTTAGAGCTAGAAGGAGCCTTAGCTCAACCAGATGAGTTAATTGGCTTATCTGAAGTAACATAGATAGTAAGTCATAGAGCGGAGATTTGAGCTGAAGTCCTCTAGTATTACAAATTCACTATTCCATCCCAATTTCATATAATCCAAATCAACTCAAAGAAATATAAGGGTGCCATTCTATTATCTTTCATGCTTGATAATAGATTTGGTTACATAGTAAGGAGTAGTTTAATTTCAAAGGAATGGCCAGTAGGCCCAGCACTAGTATGGAACGGGTTCAGTACTAATTGCATTCTTATTGACTGTAAGCTCCTTGAGGGCAGGGATTATTTCAGTTATGTCTCCTAGAACCTGTATAGCCATGCTTCTGGAAACAAGCTTTTTCTTATCAATGTTGTGAGTCTTTTGTAGGACTGACATGGAACCATTTTGGAAGAAAGGGTTTAAGAAACATCCCTCACCAGGAGGAAGGATAAATAAAATGACAATAGCAGTAACTCCTTCATGGAGCACCTCTGGTTTGCAAAGTGCTTTACACACATGATTTCATTTGATCCTCACATCAATCGCCTGAGGCAGCTGCTATTATTTCCCCTGCTTTATAGATGAGGAAACTGAGGCTCAGAGAGGTAAAATAATGTGTCCAGGGTCACACAGCTGATAAATATCTGAGGTGGGATTTGAACTGAGATCTTCCTGGTTCCAAGTCCAGTGATCTAGTCACTGGATTCCTCTGTCACAGGAGGTTAGAATGCTAGTCCCATCACTGAGCTGAATAAATATTCTAAGTTCAGACACTTTGGTAGGAGGTAACTTTTGGGAAGAAAGCCACCCCAAAACATGCCAAATTCAGATGTTTCCAGGGAAACATCCTGGGCAGGGACATGAGCAAAAAGTACGCTTATTGAGAAGAAAAGTCTCCAATATGTCAATCAATCAACAGACACAGTGCCAGGTACTGTGCTTGGTGCCAAAGACACAAAGAAGAAAGCAAAAACAGCCCCTACCCTCCCAGAACTAACAGCAGAGGAGACAAGCAAACTGCAGGGGAAGATCCAAAGGAGAAGTAATAAGGCGGGTAGGGGAGGCACTGGCAGCTGGGAGAATCGGGAGAGGTTGCATGTAACAGGTCATCCTGCAGTCGAGTCTTGAAGGAAATTCGGGATTCTAAGAGGAAGGAGTGAGGGCAACTAGGGCAAGAGCAGGAAGGAGGGAGGATGAAATGTCATTTGAGGAAATGCGTAAGAAGGTCAGTGTGCCTGATCTGTAAAGCATGTGAAGGGGAGAAATGTGTATAAGCCAGGAAAGTCGAGGCCAGGCTGTGAAGGGCTTTGAATGCCAAATACTAGTTTATATTTGACCCTAGAAGTGATAGGAAGCCAATGTTTCATCCTGAGCAGAGGAGTGATATGGCCAACCCTGTATAGTAAAAGCATGATGGGCACCTGTCTGGAGGACAGAGTGAGTGGGGAGAGACTTGAGACAGGAAGACCGCTTAGGAGTCTGTTGAGGTAGTTCGGGAAAGAGGGGATGGATGTGAGCAAAGCTGTGGAAGCAGCAGGGTTTGCTAAGTGATGGGATGCATGGGGTGAGTGAAAAGGAAGAGAAGATGACACCAAGATGTTGAACCTGGGTGGTGGGGCCTTTCATAGTAATAGTGAAGTTTGGAAGGAGGGGAGGTTTGGGGGAAAGCTAAGTTCAGAGCTCCCTGGGCCATCGGTGAGACAATGGCCTATCCAACCAGAGAAGGCCACACTCTTTATGACGTGGAACCTCGGGCTTTAGACATTCAAAATTGTACAAAAATAAGTCTGGAGTACAGTTTTAAGCCTATTAAAATTTTCATATATTTTAAATAAAACCGTGTACATAAATACTTTGGGTATAGATGCAGATGTAGCTACAGATACAGCTGTGTTTTTTAGTCTCGTGGGATTTTCTTAGCAGAGATACTGGAGTGGTTTGCCATTTTTTTCTCCAGCTCATTTTACAGATGAGGAAACTGAAGCAAAGAGGGTTAAGTGACTTGTCCAGGGTCACAAAGCTAGTAAGTGTCTGAGGCTGGATTTGAATTTATGAAGATGAGTCTCCCTGATTCCAAGCTCAGTGCTCCATCCACTGAGCCACCCAGCTGCCCTCATAGATATATATTTTGTAGATAATAGATACATATGTATGTATATATCTAATACATATATATGTGTGTATACACACACATAAAGCATATTGGATTTGGCTGCAGGACATGGAAACAATTGTACTGCTTCTTAGGCTTAAGGGAAATCAGTTCCTCTGTCCCTTTTCTCATTCTAAGGAGATTCTCCACATAAATCAAAGGTTATCTACCTAGAAAACAAAACCCCTTCAAATAAGGCCACAGGACCAGAGAACATCTAAGATCCCTTTCAGGGCCAAAATTTTATGATTCTATGGAATTAAAATACCAAGAAAGCACTAACTGGTTCAAGGCAGAGATACTCCCTGTCCATCCCGGGCTAATTTAGCTTGCCATACACCGTTTTCTAAAATGATGTCAGCACTTATTTTTTCTTAATAATAGCTGGAATAACTAAAAGGAATTCCCATTGTTCTTGCTTCCTGCCTTCCTCCAGACTAGTGGAGCTGAGAAGGGAGTGGTTGGGGGAAGACGGGAGAATCAATCAAAGGAAAACGATTTCCACTTGGAAAGCTGGCTGCTGGCTGCAGTCAAATGACATTCCAATTCCCACAAGGAGGATTGCATGTGTGGCAAGGCACTTCTGGTGAACTTTTCTTCACCTTGCTTCCTCAAAGCTTTGGGATCCTAGTGTTCCATCGCTAAGAAAGTAGATTTTAAAAGTCACTTATCAGCAACTACCAGGGCAAAGTCTTACTGCTGATTTAGATCCTTGTTCAAATGCATTTTGAGTGTTTCCAAATCAGTCAACAAGCATTTATTAAGCCTTTATTCTGCTGAGAAAATTCAGAATTTGGGTAATGGGGGAAGGGTGGGATAAAAGATTGGGAGGAAGGAACAAGGGGCCCCTGGAGAGGGGAGGAGCTACTCTATCCGAGGCCCGAATAACCCAGACTCTGCACTCATCCAAGAGGGGCTCTCACAATCACTTGGAAATTGCAAGCCCAGTGCAATGTTAACTTTAATTCAATTTTAATTTAATCTAAAATTAATTTAATGTTAATTTTAAGCCCGGTGCAAGCTAGTTAACCAGCCTGTGTGTTAGTAAATTGTTAGTTATTAATGGTTACTATTGTTAGTAATATTAATAGTTAGGAAATTAGTTAGACTAGCCTGTGTGTCAATAAATTGTGAGCCTTTTTTTTTAAATCTTAGTATAGAACTTAAAATAAAGCCATTATCTCCCTAGATCTCTATTATAATCCAGTGAAAAAATGTTTTAAAGCACCTTTAAAAAAAGCATTAAATGGAGTGGGATTAGTTTGATTGGGTCTATAAGAAGAGAATTCAGTATTTTTCTTAGCTTGGAAGCATAGGATTCTGGCTTTTCGAGCTGGAAGCAACCTTAGAAGTCATTTTGTTCAACCCTGGTATTTACAGAGGAATGTGCAGTGTAGGGAGGTTAAGCAGCTGGCCAAGGTTACTCAGATATGAAGGGATAGAACCAGATTTCAAATCCGGATCCTCTGGCTCCAAAACAAATGATAATTCCACTGCTCCCAAGTACAGTCCAACACAAGGCTATAAGCAGGAATTTGGTATCAGGAGGGTCCAGGCATAATAATAAGGCTTTAAGTAACTGGGGGTGAGGGAGGCTTCCACAGAAGACCCAACATCCTCAAGTGGACAATGACTCCATATGATGGCCCAGGGAGAATGTAGAATCACTGGAGCATAGATTTTGGACTAGAAGCTTCTTTAAAAGTCATCTGTTTTACCTCTCTCATTTTATAGATGAGTAAACTGAGGCATAGAGAAACTAAGTGACTTGTCCAGGTCACATAACTATTTTTAAATGTCTGAGGTAGGATTTGAACTTGGGTCTTTCTGATCCCAAGTCCAGTGCTCTGTCCACTATACTTGCATTACAGAACTTTTGCTTAGGACCAAGCCTGGAGTAGCACTTGACAAATGCTTAAAAAATTTTTTTTAATTCAAATTTTATTTTATTTCCAGGTCTGCATTTTCTCCCTCCTACATCCCCCTCCTCCCAATCCACTGAGAAAAGCATGAAAAACAAAACCCACTACAAACACGCATAGTCAAATAAAAACAAACTCCCTTCGTTGGTCTTGTGGCTAATGCAAAATAACAAAAACAAAAATGGATTCGGACTCCAGTCACCTCTCTATCTGGAAGCGAGGAGCATTTTATAAATACCTTTAATAACACTGATGATGATGATGGGCAGAGGGAGGAGAAAGAAGAACAAGGGCAGGGAGAGATACTTGGAAAAGGCAGTAAGGTTGGTGATCCAGACAAATAAAGTAGAAGGGGACCTGAGGACAACGACAACCTCGAGGGTCCCTTCCGGCTGTAATCCTGTGGTCCAGGGGTCTCAGGTGGCAGAGAAGAAATTATCTAGTCAGTGGAACTACACCACTTGCAAAGAGATGTTCCACCCCTACAAAAGGTCCCCTCTTGGCCTGGTTTACAAGCCGCTTGTAAGCATCTTGGTTAGAGGAGCTTCTACACTGGCTGGCAGCCACAGGGGAGAGCAGAGAGGGTGCTGCACTTGGGTCAGGGAGGCCTGATTTGGATCACTTGGTAGCTATGTGACCCAGGGCAAGCTACTTAACTTTCTCACCATCAGTTTCCTCATATGAAAAATAGGGCTAATAATAGCACGGACGTCAAGGAGTTGTAAATTTCAAATGGGATAATATATTTAAAGCATTTCGTGGGCTTTAAAATACTACCTAAATCTTAGCTATTATTAATCAATCAATAAACATTCATTACGAGCTTATATGTGGCAGGCACTGTGTTAAGCACTGGGGACATACAAAGAGGGAAACATAGACTGTGCCCTCGAAGATCTCACAATATTAAATAATAATGATAGCTATTATTGTTATTATTGTTAGCTCATGTATATTCTACATGGTAAAGTCTCCATATTCCATTCATTAGAATAGGAATCACTCCTTCAGGCAGGAGAATGTCTTTAGTAGAAAACTAAGAATGAATCTGAACTTGATTAACAGTAGTACTAAATACCCCAGGTTTCTCCCTCTAACACCACTTAAGACTCTCTCCACATTCCGAACCAAGCTAGTGTCTGGAGGGTTGGGACCAGTAATCCCCAAGGAGAGGAGAATTCCTTGCAATCATCTCTCCCACACTTGGAAACAAAGATCTCTGGATAGCCAAGCGCCCCTTGCTTGGTTTTACTTCACCAAAGCTCTAGCTCAAGGAGTTGTTCTGGGTTGGGTGGGGCCTCGTGCTTTCTTGACTTATTTCCCATTTCTCCCTCTAACTCACTCACCAAACTGATGAAGCATTTCTTCTCCATGCAGGGCATTTTCCTGCCACCCCACTCTTACACAGAACGTGCACCATGCCTGGAGTGCTATCTCCCATCACCCTTGAGAATCCCTACTTCCATTCAAGTCACAGGTCTAGCACCATATCTTCCTATACAGAACTTTTCTGAACTTCCAAATTATGAGTGACTCCCTAGAGTCTGGCCCCCACCAAAATTACTTTATATTTTCTGCTTATATAGTAGCGTGGCATGATGAAAAGAATATTGTCCTTGGGATCAGAGTACCTGGGCTCAAATCCCATTTCTACTAACACCTCTGAGACCTTAGGAAAGTCACAACTTTCCTGGGCCTCAGTGTCCTCCTCTATGGAAAGAAAGCCCTCGGTGGGGCAGATGGCTCTTGAGGTCTGTCCATTCAGACTCTAAATCTGATCTACATGTTGTTTCCTGGAGGGTTGAGACCTACGTTTTCAGCCAAAGGGTTGATTTGATTTGCTTAACTATACTTAGTTGTTATAAGGAGAGCTGGGATTCTGAAGGTGGAGGGAGGGGAGGATTAGTAAGTAGTAATAGGAATTTATTTTTTTAAGTTAAGAAATGAAGTGATTTGCTCAAAGTCCACAGAGGTAGTAGAACCCATGTCCTCCATCCCCTGAGTTAGGGCTTTTTAAATTTTTTTCTATAGATACAGTCTTCTGCCTATGCTGGTTAATAGGGACAAATAAGGAACTAAACCTGTGACTTCTCTGATTTAGGGAATGCTCAATGAAGAAACACTCTTTTTCTTTCTTTCTTTCTTTTTTTTTGGCTAGGCAATGGGGTTAAGTGACTTGCCCAGGGTCACACAGCTAGTAAGTGTCAAGTGTCTGAGGTCAGATTTGAACTCAGGTCCTCCTGACTCCAGGGCCAGTGCCCTATCCACTGCACCATCTAGCTGCCTCAGGAAACACTCGTAATGCAGGTTGGTTTCTTTCCAATTTATAGTCTGAGAGAACTGCCTAGAACATCGACAAGTTAAGTGGCCTACTCAGGGTCACATAACTGGTGTATATCAGAAGCAAGACTTGAACCTATCTCTTTCTCACTCCAAGGCCATGTCTCTATCTACTATGCCATGCTGTCTCCTGTACATTCCTATTAATTTGAATTAAACTGAGTTTAATCGAGTGGCTTAAAAGGGGTCTATAGTGTGGCAGGTGAACCTAAGGGAGTTTCCCATAGTCTTCCTTCTTTGATGGGGCTGACCAATCTGCATGGTACTCTGAGCTTGTCCTAGCCCATTTACAGGAAGGGAAGGGAGGATCCAGGGAAGTCTGGGACATTGGATCCCTCCCAGCTCTTACCGTGATGAAGGCTGTCAAAAGGAATGTGCTCATTGCCATGACAGAGAAGCTGTCCAGGAACCACGTGCACCAGATGACAGTATTAGAAACACCTCGGTTTTTCAAGGTCTCCTTTAGCCTCATCTCCTTCTCAAGGACAATGCTCTTCACCATCATAGAAACCGAATAGATCCAGGCCAGCACCATGAAGACGGGGAAGCAGCGGTTCAGAGTGATCATAAAGCTGCTGATGCCAGGGAAGAGAGGAGACCCACCACGGGCCAAGGCCAAGGGGTTGGGGAGAGAGAGCACAAGAGAAACACCATTGGGAATTCGGCAGGTTTCGTGGGCTCCAAAGCAATGACTGGAATGAAATCATATTTCTATCTATAGGGCCACCCACTGGCTCCTTCCCAGAGATGTTGCTTCTTCGGAATGGGCTTGTCTTCTGGCTTTAGGGCCATGGGTACATTGGTTGCACACTTCATCTAGTTCCACAAGCCATCCTTTAACTCTTACTCTAGCAAGGGTTCTTAACTCTTTGATGTGTTATGGACCCCTTTGGCAATCTGGTGATAGTGATGTTTTTAAATGCATAATAAAATGCATTGCAAAGCAAGCCAGTGGGAAAGAGCACAAATGTGAGGCCAGAGGACCCAGTTCTGCTACTTCTTGACTTTGTAATCTTGAGGAAGTTGGTTCGCTTCTCAGTAACGCAGGTTCCTTATCTCTAAAATGAGGGATTGGGATCAGATGATCTCTAGAGCCCCTTCTAGCTCTAAAGCTGGAAAAATACATTCTAGGCATTGCGCTAGGCACTGAAACAAAAAACAATCCCTGTTGGAGCTTACATTCTACATTCATAAATATGGTGTGACCAAACAGTGGATTTGTTCTCATCTTTGCATTCCCAGTGCCTAGTATGGTGCCTTACACGTAGTAGGTACTTTAAAAATATTTTCTCAATTGAATCGGGATCTCTTGAGGAGCATGCCCTATGCGTAGGCTGGCACTAGAACCCAAGTGGATGGTCATATAGACAAAGAGTATGTGGTTGGTGATTGCAAGCATTCAACCCTGGCTTCGTCTACCAAAAGAAATCTAGGCAGCTACCTGGTACAGAAAATAGAGCACTGGGAGTAGAGTCAAAAGACCGGAGTTCAAATCCTGCCTCAGAAGACGATGAGCTTTGTAATCCTGAGCAATCTCAGACTCAGTTTCCTTATCTGTAAAACGAGGACCTCTAAGCTCCTTCATATATCAAAATCCATAATTCCATACCTCAATTTAATCTTCCCCATATGCTCACACATGAATCCCACAGTGGCCAAATCCTACTTCTTTGGGGGAATGGATACTAAGTGCAAAATTAGAGCAGACTTATTTAAGACAATAACTGACTCTGAACTGAGGGTTGTTTCCACTTCTAACTATTTATTGAACATCCTCAATGAACAAAGTTACATTTCTCATCCAGAATGCATGTAGTATTTAGGGTTCTAGTCTAAACACAATATGGGTTTTCCATGTGTGAAAACATGTGCATTCAATTTGTTAACAGAACACTCAACTGATATTATTAATCATTAAAAGCAGTTGTATATGGCAACAAGAAGGACCTTACGCCCACATGGGAAAGTTTCATCACTAACGTGCCCAGCATATAGTAAACACATAATAAATGCTTGTTGACTGACTGCCTGGGGAAAAGGAGCTTGTCTTCCAGAAAGCTCACAAAGCCTGCACTCCTGGGATTTGGCCACCAGAGGTCTTTCACAATGCTTATCCTAATGGTTAGTTTCTCCTTCTTGCCACTCCTCCACACTGCTGTCCCACCAATATGGTTCTGAAATCTAGTTGGGTGTCCCTCCCTTGAACCCCTTCCCACCTCTTCCCTGTCTCCAAACCCAAAGTAAACTTCAGGAAGGACAGGAGAGGTGACCAGAGGTAGTTAGTGTTGGGGGTTGTAAGTTCTCCCTTTGTAGGAAGAATCACTGGGCATGAAAGAGATGGGAACCCATAGGCCAGCCTGTCTACCTCTGCTCCCTGCCCTGAACCCGCTGTAACAAGTAAACAGGCATATCTCAGGAAAATTTAAGAGGATCGCAGGACTAGAGCTGGAAGGGACCTCACTGGCCTTCTCGTCCAACATTCTCTGTTTTACAAATGAGGAAACCAAAGCCCAAGGAGGTCATGTCTTTCCCAAGGTCACACAGGCAGTAAGTGGCAGAAATGAATTTGAATTCAGGTCCTCTGACTCCTGAACCAGTGCTCTTTCCACTCTACCATTCAGATATCTATGCTTGTTTTCTAGATATCACCAGGTACCACCCTGGCCAACTTCAGCTAACTCTGCTGGCTCCATCCACCTTTGGTAAATGAGGTCGCCACAGATAGAAGGAAGGCACTCTTATCCCCATAAACAAAACCATAGGACCAGTTGTTTAGGTGGCTGCTGGCCATCAAGGACATGGTTTTAGTAGTGAGCATGCATTAGCAGGGGAAGGAATGCCCTAGGAGCTAAAGGCATACATTCTTTTTGTCCTTGGCCCAGATTGTGATTTCACTGGTGTAGAAAATTCCCACTGAGGAGACTCTCAACCCATGCTGATCAGTATCTATTGGACCAGGAAGAGTTCAGTGTTGCCTGGGTCATAGAGAGGTTAAATGTCTTCCCCAGGGCCATGTCTCCAGGAGGTGTTAGAGGCTGGATCTGAACCCAGTCTTCTTGACTTTAGGACAGGCTCTCCCTCCTCCACTGTGGCCTGCTGCCTTTCTCACACTCATTTACTTTTTCATCAAACATCCATCATGAAAATGCTAATTAGTGAAGGGGCTGCATTATTCAGTAGCTCCTAGAAACCAGACTGGATTTCAAATGCAAAGCCTCGATATGGTGGAGAAAGGGACTCTGGCTGGTGTCCTTAAAAATACCAACTGCACTGTACAGTATGAAATTCATGTGCCTTGGCCCTTCTACCCCAAGGTCACCCTTTGTGACTTTCCACATATGGACTTCACAAACCTAACTTCTGTTGTTCCAGTTTTCAGGATGTTTCCCTTCTTCCTTCTTTTACCTTCGCTTCTAAGATCTGTTCCAGTTTTAGAATTCTATCATTCCACGATCCTCTATCAAATCTACAAAAACGCTTTTACTCTTTCATCCATCTTACTTTCTTTGATGTTCTTCCCATCAGAGCAGGGAAACAATGGCTCCATAGAACATTTTCCCCATCTTGGCCACCTGGTCAGCTCTCTCCTGTCCTTCCCCTCTCCCCCCAGGAATTCTCTCTCTGGTCCCAGATTGAGATCAAAGACTGAAAGGGCTTGAGCCTTCCTGACATCAGAGGCACTTCCCAGCTGCTCCAACTAGCTTATCAAAGAAGAAGATCAAGGCACTACTCTGACTCACACATCATCTACAAAGCAGGGGTATGGCATTTGCTGCAGATAGACTCCAATGGGGACTTCTGCCTTGGTCTGACTTCTTATAATCCCTTGTTCAATCATGTCCTGTAGATATGCAAACCCGCCCCAAATGTAACGGAAGTCTTCCACTGGATCAGCTCTTGGACCAGGATCCCAGTATCTGAGAAAGACAAACAAAGGCAGAAAAGACCCAGATTCAGTGGGATGGACTGTGTACATCATTGTCATGGTCTAATCTCTGGAGGCTCTTACTATAGCAATTAAAAACTCACCCTAGAACTCTTTCCCTAAGACTTAAATTCTATTCTGAAATGGGAAGAAGGGCTTAGATGTCACCTAATCACATAATGAATTTAGGAAGAATTTATTGTACTTTGTGGACTGACTTAGCAATGATGTCATTATTCCACAGTTCCTTTCCTTCAACGGAGCTGGGAGTCACTAAATGTCATCTTTCTGGTAAGATGGAGGACCACTATGACTTACCATCTGCTCTGCCACTGTTTGCTAAGGTCCCCTGGCCCTTAACCTTTTGCTGTGCTGCTATGCCCTCCAGACCCCCAGCATAGTCATCTGACCCAAGGACCCCTAGGCCTTGCCATCTATCCAACTGCTACATTCTTCAGATTCCAGGTCTTCTCATATAAGTATTATCTCTCCCAGCTACAGTGAGGGTTCCTTGAGAAAGGGATTACCTGGTTTTCTGAACTTTTATCTCAGGGGCTTGGCACAATGTTGGCACATAGTAACTCTTAATAAACGTGTTTTCATTCATTCATTCAGGAATATCATCATCCTCATTTTAAAGAACAGATAATGAGATAACTGGTACAAGTGCTAAGGATGAAGGAAACCTGAAGGCAATGGGCCTCTTTACTATTTCTGGATATCAACTCACATTAAAATGAGCCTTTTGGTTACAGCAAACCCTGAGACTTTCTGTGCTTGATATACCCACTGCAGTTGACCTAAGGGGAGAGGGCAATGAAGTCCCAGACATAGCTAACTTGAGCAGGGAATGGCTATGATCTCTTCTGCCCGGCACCACCACCATATATGGGAGGTAGATGAGGCAATCACCTGTCTTTGATCTTATTGGTTTTTTCCACTGCATCTATGTCCATGCGGATCTTGTACTTCACATGATGTGGGGGCAAGCTGTTCCAGGGGTAGATATCAGAGAACACCACTCCAGCCCAAAATCGATTCTGCTCCAGAAGGGAGAGGGCTCGGTGGGTGAGCTGGATTTCATCATCATAGCTTTCAAATTTATCCAGAGTCAAACACTGCAGATAAGAACAAGGTTAAGAGAGCTGGAGGAACTCCAAGTGGGAAGGACTCATCTCCTTCCCTTCTCCCCCCACTTAAACAGCTGGAGGGATGAGCTGCTGCCCTGAGGGACCGACCAGGATACAAGGAGAGCTACAAAGTTAGTGTTTGCTTAGCACCAGGGTCCAGTGTTTGAGCTGTAAGAGTCATCTGGAAATGGGTGGGAAAGGTGTTTGGAAATGCTGAATTGCTCTCTGGTCCCAGCAGATTCAGGGAGGGCTACGTTTATGCAGCTGTTCATAGCTGTACAAATAAGCAGTTGCTGAGAGTGACAAGGATGCTAAGGTCTCTCCCTACCCAGCATGAAGAAGAGAGAGACTGGGGTCACGCTGGATACAGGGCTTTGAAGATTAGAAAAAACTCAGACTTGAACCCCAGTTAGATCTCACCTAATTATATCACCAATTTAGGAAGAATTTTATTGTACTTTGTGGACTGATTTAGAAATGTTGTCATTATTCCATAAAAAAATAAAGATTCCTAGAGGTGGCTAGTTCTTATCTCATCACAAACATACAGAAGATGCCCAGCTGGGAAAGGAACTGGGAGGAGGAGGAAAAACCCAACAGGAGAATTTAGCAATAGTTCCAGAAATGAATTCCCATCCCAGCTCAAGGCAGGTATTGCAGGCAAAGGAAGAAACCAGGAATTCCCCAGTAAGTCTAGTTCTTCCCACATATACAATTCCTCTCAATAGCAAAGTGGATAATTTTTTAAAAAAACTAAACATTAGGTGATATTTATTTTAATAAAGCTTCAAAATATCACATTGTACTTATGTTTGTTTAATGATTTAACTCCTCATCACTGTGCTGCTTAATGGATGTTGAGGTCCATTCTCCCATCTTAAAACATAAGCTCCCTGAGGGCAAGATCTCTATTTCCTGATTAGGTTACATTGTTCTGAGTATATCATGGATACTCCAGAAGTTATTAATTGGTTAGTCTGCATGGGAGCAGTTGGAGGCTGTGTGGGGCCCTGAATTCCTCTGTTCCCTTTGGGGAAGAAGGGGCTGAGCTTTCAACCGCAAACTCTCCAAGGTACATGTGGATGGGCACTGGTGGACTTCCTGTTACACAAGCCAACTATCTAAACTGGAAAGAATTGATATGGGTCCTTGACCTCTCCATATCATAACCAAACTTATCAGAAAATATATAGATGCAGAGCCTTGAACTTGCAAAGACCTGGGTTTGAATCCTACCTCCCTTATCGACTCTGTGACCCTGGACAAATCACTTCTCTGAAACTCAGTTTCTTCATCTGTAAACTAGAGATAATACTAGCACCTAGCTCACAGGCTACTGAAGCTATTAGATCAGTTAGAATCAGATGGGCTGCCAAATCCTGTCATTTTCCCCTCTAAAACCCCTCTTGTATTCAATTCCTTCTCTCTTCTGTCTCTGTTGATTATCTCAATTTATCTTGTATATGTCTTGTTTGTTCATAATTGTTTGCATGTTGTCTTCCCCGTTAGACTGTGAGCTCCTTGAGGGCAGGGACTGTTCTTTGCCTTTCTTTGCATCCCCAGGGCTTAGCATAGTGCCTGGTACATAGAAGGTATTCAATAAATGCTTGTTGACTTAACTTGACTTTCCTTATACAGTCACCATGTTAATTCTAGTCCTTTCTACTGCTTGCCTAGAATACTACAAGAGCCTCCATACATTGATCTCTCTTTCTCCACTCTCTCCACTCCAGTCCATCCTCCATACTGTTACCAAAGTGATTTTCCTTAAGGTCAGATCTGACCATGTCACTTCCCTACTCAGTAAATTCCACTGCATTCCTATGGCTTCAAAAATAAAGTGTAAACTCTTTGGTTTAGTTTTTATAGCCCTTCACAACCTGGACCCAGCCTCATTGGAAATTATTCCCCCTCCCACAATCTATGATCCAGCCACACTGGCCTTCTCCCTGTTACTCACACGTGATATTCCCATCTCCATACTTCCATATTTCCCATCTCTCTGTCACTGCTAGTGCCTGAAATGCACTCTCCCCTCACCTCTGCCTCATGGAATCCCTGTACTTTGGATATATTCTCTTCATATTTAGCTTGAACGTACAGGCACATGTATTCTTGTTTTCTTCCCTATTAGAACAAATGTTCGAATCTTGTTTCATACGCTTCTTAGTGTGACCTTAGACAACTTACTTAACCTCTCTTGGCCTCAGTTTCCTCATCTGAAAAATGAAGAACCTAAACCTCATGATTGTGAAGATGAAATGGGATAATATAGCTCCTCAAGAGGAGGACTTATTTCTTTCTTTGTCTTTGTGTTCTCAGTCCTAGCACTATTTCTGGCACATCGTAAGTGCTTCATAAATATTTATTGGTTAGTTGAAGATACTAGATCAGCTAAAAAGATGACTTAAAAATGTCTCATTTTGTTCCAATCCTGAATATGACCTACTAGATTGGCCTGAGTTAGGGCTCATCCAATGCAATGGACAGCCTTCCACCGAAATGTGCTGACAAGAGCTAAGCTGGATTCTGCCATCTAGAATTGAGTATCTAGTGAACTAGGAGTTCACTATGTATCTTACTGGCCAGGGAAGACCAACATGGAGGTAGGCACCCTAATCCATAGGGCCTGGATGCCTGAATCTATCATGAGACTAAGAGATGGAATGATTGTCATTTGTGGCATGAAGTAAGCTGAACTGAGAACATAAGTAAATGCAGTTGAGATCTGGGGACTTCCACCAGAGAGTATGACATTGGTGAATATCAGTATTGTAGCACTGGCCTAACCCTTCCTACCCAGTTTAGCCTTACATGATTGGCAGCAAGAGCAGCTATAAGATAAAGGTATCTAAGTCATACAGGCCAAGAAAAGGCAGAAACCTCAGGGACTCAAGCTTCACATGCCATTAGACACCCTGCTGCTTGGAGACTTGTATAAATTAGAGTTGTACAACAGAATACTGAATTACAAGAAGTGTTGAATACATAGCCCATGGGCCATATGTGGCCCACAACACTCCTGAGTGTAGTCCAAACCAAATTTAAAATATAATTAGGAAATATGTAACAAAACAAAAAAATACACTAAGATGTAGATAAATATTAATATATTTTTTCAAAGTCAATTTGTGGTCCATAGAGATCCTTATGTCCAGTTTAATGGCCCCCGTTTCTTTTTAGCTTTGACATCACTGCCTTGGATCATCACTGCAAACCCCCGGGGGTTTTTGAACCACTAAATGGGAACCACTAAAATGAAAATAAATCATGGTATTGAGCACACACAGGCTTACTCAACCAGGAGCTGTGAAATGTCTATAACAGGCAGAGCATTGTGGAAGAGAAGTATTTCTCAGTGTGCAATTTTCTTTCTAGGAGCTTTCGAACCAATGTTGAGTGAGAGTGGGCAAATCAAGGAGGCATTAGTCTGATCAGGAATCAAGAAGTCTAGACTCCTTGTAGATAAACAAGTAGATAGACACAAGAAGTGCATTTTAACTGTACACTCCTCAATATGCTGCAGCCTGAGCTGAAGGCTCAATGGAGTGTCGAAGGAACTTTGCCAAGATGGGGGGAGAAAGAGGGCTGGATTCAGTGGGCATCACTTTTCTGCCCAATATTCCAGCTATAGAGACCTCCATGGAAATGAAAGTCATCTATAGAAAATAACTTACTAGGTCCAGAGACATTGATAATCAGCCAGGGCCCCTCTTTGGGCTCAGGATTGAGATTGCAGGCCACTGAGTCTAAAGATTCTTGGGTATAAATTGGACAGCAGGTCACAAGAGAAGTGTCAGGACTATCTAACCAAAGACCAGGCTGGCATATGATGACCCAAGGATAATGGGTCCAAACAGGTTACAAGTGTAGCCAAATTATAAGCTTCAATGGACTGTATTACCATGTACTTTGCATATAACATCAACATGTAGCTCTAACGTGAATGTTATGTTCTTTATACCTGTATGGGTATTTGGGATAATTATCTGTAGCTATGCCATATGCTTAACACTGATTATGACATGGCCTGTGGATGACCTGTGTGCCCAGTTTGATTTGCAAGGATCACAAATATTTTCCTTGGAGGGATGGAAGCTCTGTAGCGTAGTTTTAAATTTACAAGTTATGGGACAAGGAAAAGTACTGATCATTGAAAAAGGCTGGGACAGCAGAAAACGTGGAGAACTATGCCAGGAGGACAGCTTGATCAGGAAAATGAACTTGGAAAAATTGAAAGGGCAAATAGGCTTAGTATCTGGGGAGGTCTGGGTATTTCTTAGCAGCCATGAGAAAAAAAAGTTACACTTGGAGATGGTAGTAAGAAAAGTAGGACTACCAGAGAGATCATTACAATTTCTGAAGAATCCAAATTGTGGTGACTCAAAGGGCAATTGAGTACAGTAGAAAGAGCTGACTCTAGAATAAAAGGATCTGAGTTCAGATTCTACTTCTGATGCTGACTACCTCTGTGAGGCAGCTGTTAACTTAACTTGACTTTCCTTATACAGTCACCATGTTAACTCTAGTCCTTTCTACTGCTTGCCTGGAATACTACAAGAGCCTCCATACATTGATCTCCCTTTCTCCACTCTCTCCACTCCAGTCCATCCTCCATACTGTTACCAAAGTGATTTTCCTTAAGGTCAGATCTGACCATGTCACTTCCCTACTCAGTAAATTCCACTGCTTTCCTATGGCTTCAAAAATAAAGTATAAACTCTTTGGTTTAGTTTTTATAGCCCTTCACACCCTGGACCCAGCCTCATTGGAAATTATTATCTGTAAAATGAGGAGGGTAAACTCAATGTCCCTTTTAGCTATAGATCTATGATTCTATCAGAAAATATGGGAGTAAGCAAACTTATGTAATGTCACCAGTGATGGCAGGTGTTTGAGAAATAGCCTAAAAGGCATTATCAAGGACAGGGATGATCATAAAAGGAAATGAGAAAACACTCAGAGAGTTTGATGTTCCACTGGTATCT